CAGTCAAACTCAAAGCCCAGCACAGCAACAACTACTAGCCTTACATCGAGACCCTCCACCACCAATACAATCAATCATCAACATACATCGGAGCATTCTACCAACCACCAGCCAACATGTACCAGAACCTTGGACGCACACCCAACTGGGAAACCTGCTTCAAGCAAACCCAACTCACCGAGGAGAACTTGCGAACACATACTGCCACCCACAAGAAGGTATGCTTTGACCTTGGATGACGTCTTTATCAGGTCACTGCTAACAGTACAACAGCTCGATAGTGCTTGTGAAATGGATGACCAACTTTACTACCGATATGACGGTGACTTTGCTGAGTCAGACGATGGAAACGTGGAAAGCCAAAGAGAGACCATCGCCTTGAGAAGAGCAGCATCGTTGGAGGTCTTGAAGGCGTACGGCGGGTGCTTCGCCTCTGGCTTCCTCGCACTACAAGAGCCCCTCCCATCAAGGCCAAAATCCAAACTCAGGTCATACGAGAGCGCATACAGCGTCGACATGTCAAGAACGGCTTCCAACGCCACATCACTCGAGACAGCCTCAAGCAGCTGGAGCAGCAACGTCGACGTGCCCCGGCCAGATTCGTCTACATTGGGCGCACCAGTACCGGAAAGCAAAAGTGGAAAATGGAGCTGGCGAAGCATGAGGAGGAGTCGAAAGCAAGCTGCGAAGAAGATTGAAGTTTAAAAAAAAAGTTATTTATTGGCTGGCCTGTCGGTCTCTACATTTTTCTTGTGTATATGTTTATTAGCGAAGGCGTTGGGGGATCACGGATACCATGGAAGACTGCGGAATCATCTCTTTTGTCACGAAGCCAATGGCAGAGCCACTCAAAACTTGACGGAAAAAGCACGACTTTGTAGTGTTTAATGTACATATTATACCAAGAAAAGACGGCCTTGATAAGCCTTTTTCGACAAACATGAGCTACATGTACCTTGCAACTTGTGCAGTGTGACCCTACAGTACCCGAAGACCGGAGTCCAGACGGCCAAGCTTGGAGAGCCGGATATGAAACATGAGAGGATAATCGTCTCGCATTGGTTGAGATGTGGAGAGGACCATCAGGAGATGCATCAAGGGCCGACGGACATCTAGACTCGACGACCTGATGAGGAAATCTCAGGCGACAAGCTCAGCCCACGTCTGGGCCATGAGTAAGAGCCGTCTTGTTCGGAGGTCACGATGGTGTTGCGGATGTACTGCGGACTCGTCCATGCATGCCGTGGGGGACGTCCTGCAGGCTGACGGACAAGCACCGCCTGACCAAGCAACCGAGCCAGTCACAGTACGCGCAACCCTTTTGAAGGTGCGTCCAGAGTTAGCCAGGACAAAAACAAAATTTCCGCAGACAGCAAGGCATTGAAGCTCAACAAGATGGATTGCCGGGTGCGAAGAACAAAAGACGACTCGATTGCTCGATTGTTGGAGCACGAGGCCGGGCAATGACGTACCGGTGGGGCGCTGCGAGGGAGCGGCAAAAAGCTCGGCGCCCGCGTGGAAGTCGCGAGGGTGCAGGTGGTGATGGTGATGAGGCAGGTACGCCCAGGGGTTCCGAGGTGCACGGGATCCTCTGGACGTGTTCGCTCGCTCAGCATCATGCCGCCTGGATGAAGCATTGATAGCAGTCACGCCGCTTGGTTCTGGCACAATGCAGCTTCTTCACCGCCTGGTCTGTCATTGCCTATCGTGATAGCAGACCCACCACTGACGCCTGCTGCTATGCATTTCTATAGCCATCGGCGGACCTGCCGGCCTTGAATCCCTCAAAACTACTACCTCCCGCCCATTGGAAACCCGTCTTTTCTCTCCAGTCCTACACCGCATACGCCACCCGTACTAACACTTACAACATATCGTCGTGTGACCGCTGCTTCTCCGTCCCTATAGTCTGAAGCATCTTCATACAAAGGTCCCGCCCCACCCCCACCCCAGCCCTCGACCACCGTTCCAGCTAACCCCAGAGAAGTACCTACCTACGCCATAGCACCATCTTCACCACCCACAACACCCAACCCTGCACCCATTGACTGGTGTCTTCGCCCCAACTCCCCCGTAGCATGAGCTCGCAATCTTCCAAGCCCCGCCGAGCTTCGACTGTTCTCGACCCGTACGCTGCACCGCACATATACTATGGCGAGAGTCACTCGCGGAAGCATACCAGAGCCAGGACCTACTCCGCTGTGAGTACCGCGCTCCTCCCTTGTTCTACTGTTGGGACGGCACTAATTGAGCGCAGAATGTAGACAATTCCACGCGCAATGCCCCAATTGCCGAGGGTGCCATTGCTGGCCGACGCATCAGTCACGGTGCGTGCCTTCCACAGCATTCCCGACGCGACATGTGCTGATAACACCAGATGAAATCTCCCTGCAGCCTCGCCGTTTCAAGATCAATGTCGAAGAAACGCTCCAGCAGCTTCTCGCCCGCGAAGACTCGGACCAGAACTACCAGATCACAATAGACGACAAGGGACCCAAGGTACGACATGATGCATCTCTAGAGAGAACACGGCTGACAAGACACAGACCTTGTCTCTCGGTACTCTTGGCTCCAACGCCTTCAAGAAGCACGATGTCCGCGGCACCTACATGCTCTCGAACCTGCTCCAGGAGCTCACACTCGCAAAAGACTACGGCCGCAAGACTATCGTGCTTGACGAGTCACGCTTGAACGAGAACCCTGTAAACCGCCTGAGTCGCCTCATCCAATTCTCCTTCTGGGACGGTCTCACACGCCGTATCGACGGCTCCAATATCGCCAAAGTCGGTGTCGATCCCAAGGACTGGACAGACGACCCACGTCCGCGTATATACATCCCCCAGGGCGCACCTGAGCAGCACGAGTACTACACCCGCATTGCTCGCGAGCATCCCGACATGCGTCTGGATGTCATCTGGCTGGACAAGGATTGCGACAACAACGATTACGTGCGCGATCTGAACAAGGCACCCGGTCTGCTCGCTATTGCTATGGAAGAATGGATAGATCCAGAGACGAAGAAGAAGGACCTGAGGGGTCTGCCGTTCGTCGTCCCAGGTGGCCGCTTCAACGAGCTCTACGGATGGGACAGCTATATGGAGTCGCTCGGTCTCCTCGTCAACGACCGTGTTGACCTAGTCAAGTCCATGGTCATTCACTTCTGCTTCTGCATCAAGCACTACAACAAGATCCTCAACGCAAATCGCACTTACTACCTTTGCCGATCTCAGCCTCCCTTCCTCACCGATATGGCTCTGCGATGCTATGAACGCATCAAGCACGAGCCTGGTGCGCTCGATTTCCTACGCGAAGCCATCCTTGCTGCCATCAAGGAATACCACTCGGTTTGGATGAGCGCGCCTCGCCTAGACCCCGTTACTGGGCTCACCAGGTACCGGCCTGGCGGACGAGGTGTGCCACCTGAGACGGAAGCCAGCCATTTCCACCATGTTTTGATGCCGTATGCTGAGAAGCATGGTATGACATTTAAGGAGTTCGTCGATGCATACAACAACGGACGTGTCGAAGAGCCTGAGCTTGACGATTATTTCCTACATGACCGTGCTGTACGTGAATCTGGCCACGACACTTCATACCGTTTAGAGAGGGTCGCCGCAGATCTTGCAGTTGTCGACATCAATGCGCTTCTTTACAAGTACGAAGTCGACATTGGCCGTTGCATCCGCAATCACTTCGGTGACAAGCTTGAGATCCCAGACGGCTTCCGCACTGGTGACATGAAGCCTGGCCACGTTGAGAACTCTGCCACGTGGGAGCGCCGCGCTAGAAAACGCCGCGTTCAGGTGGACAAGTATCTCTGGGATGAAGAAGCTGGCATGTACTTCGACTACAATACAGTCAAGCAAGAACGCACCGGCTACGAGAGTGCCACCACTTTCTGGCCCATGTGGTCAGGTCTTGCTACTCCTCGCCAGGCTAGCATTCTTGTGGAGAAAGCCCTCCCTAAGCTGGAGGCATTTGGTGGGCTTGTTTCGGGTACAGAGAAATCGCGCGGCAAAGTCGGCCTTGACCGCCCCAACCGTCAGTGGGATTATCCATTTGGCTGGGCGCCGCAGCAGATGCTCGCTTGGGTCGGTATGCAGCGATACGGGTACGATGCAGAAGCCCAACGCCTGGCATACCGCTGGCTCTTCATGGTCACCAAGGCATTTGTTGACTTCAACGGCGTTGTTGTTGAGAAATACGATGTCACGAGGAAGATTGATCCTCACAGGGTGGAGGCCGAGTACGGTAACCAAGGCAGTGACTTCAAGGGTGTTCCTCGCGAAGGGTATGTCCAATCCTTACATTCTTGTTCATTCACGACTAACATTGATCAGCTTCGGATGGGTCAACGCAAGTTACGTTTACGGTCTCACGCTCCTCAGCGCACACCAGCGCCGTGCTCTCGGTGCGCTTACCGATTGGGACAGCTACTCAAAAGCCATGGAAGATCTTGGTATGATGTAAACGACTGCCAGTTACTTTGTTACGACTGTACGATGTACATTGCATTGGATGTTGGGTCTGCTTCCTGATTCGAGTTAGAGGCGTAGTAGGAAATCTGTCTGAGCTATGCTTATGGATTTTGCTTGCAAGTCCAAGGGAGAGTGCTAGACGTATGAGCACAGCAAATTTTAAAGGATGTGGTACTGCAGGAGCTTTCGGTATGGTGCTAGGGGCTGGACTCGGCATGACGGTGTAACTTATACCTATGATCAAACGAAATGCATCAATAACGTTAATTTTCCATGCCTTCTTTGGAGTGTCACAGACTTACAGTCACAGCTCTCATGAGTGCCTAGTGATGCATCGCAAGCCTATCTCAGAGATCGTGGCCCATCATCATGCTACGCGCTCGCCCCACCAAAATCCCACGCGTCGCGTACCTTTCGACACGGGCGTGACCCTCGTCCAGCACCACCTCCACCACACAACATTCGCTTAGGTTCGCCACCAGAAAACGCAAGAGTACTACATTCCTCCATTGGACCTTCAATATGCCTTCGGTGCCGATTCACCTTCCTTCGGCAACACCCTCTCGCGCCGAGAATCCTCTTCCACAGCTCCTCCACACACCCTCTGGCCTAGCACTCATAGAAATTCAAGGCACAATCCACTTCCCAACGCCTACAGAATCCTCCGGGCCCTCTACACAAGTTGGAAAGCTCGTCTTTCCATACTACAATCCCAACATCAACGATCCGAGCGACACAAAATGGATGAAGCGCGTATACATGTACATTGGCAAAGGCCAGCGCATGACAGGCGAGTGCAAGAAGTTGCCCAAGCCATATGGGGTCATGCGCAAGAAAGAAAAGACAGATGTTGAAGATGTAGCCATGGGTGGCCTTGAACAAGAGGACGGTGCGAAGGAGGAAGAGCTGGAGATTGTAGAGGTGGTGAGGTACAAGATTGTGTTTTCTTCGCGACCGGAGCCGATTAGTGGGGTTTCTGAGGTGGAATGAAAAGTCGGGAAGGAAAGAGAAGACGTGTTTTCGCCCGAATCCGAAGTTGAGGAGAACCACTCTTGGTGGTCTAAAAGCTTTCGAACGATCGCGCAACGATGAGAAATACACTTGCATATCGTGTCTGATATGACAGGCCTCAAGTCATCGATACAACCTTCGCAAATTAGCGAGAGCACTCGTTCCAAGGTTACGACATGATTCACGGGACACACCAGCGAATCTTTACGCCCAAAAACGCGAAAAGTATGACTAGGTCGACATTGCAGACTTCCGGGAGGGCGTCCAATAAGCCTCCGTTATACGCGATAGGAGCTGTGACACGTTCCGTTGCCAACCTTCGTATTCGCTACTGCCACAAGGATTGGATTTGAGCCTCTCAAGACTCGGAATATTGATTAAGCAATTTGGTGTCGCACAAGCATATTGCTGTTCAGCCTCGTTCCTGGGTTCTGGTGCTCGCTTGCAGGCATATTGCACTTTAGCCACTTTATGCGGCGACCACGGTCCGACTTATATTTGGGTCATGCACTATATGCGGTCACATGGTGACATTCTGGAATACACATAGAAGATATATGGTATCGGTGTTGCATACCTTCAGCTGGTCATTTCTTGGGAAGATTCAGCAAATTCATCATCTGTTTAAAGCACCATTAATCACAAACTCAACATGCAGTACTCAACTGCGGCTCTGTTAGCCTTGTTAACTAGCACTACTTATGCTGATGTGGGAGATTGGCAGCAATGTACGCTCGTCTCGAAGTCGTATGTAGGCCTTTGCTAATGAAAGATCAGGTGGTGGTATGAGTTGGTCTGGTGAGACCACGTGCAGTTCAGGTGCAGGCTGCGTCAAGATCAAGTGAGAGACTGGTTGTATCCTTCTCTCACGACACATATCTGACAATCTTCAAGTGACTACTACTCTCAATGTCAACCCGGTGCAGCCCCGGCGCCCACTGCGGAGCCACAACCCGACCCTGTGCCAGAACCAACACCTACAACCTTTACAACAGTCTCTCCAGGTGCACCCACTGTCAGCAGCACCCCATCGGGAAGTGGGCCGGGCAAGACACTTCAAAGCGGCTACTATTGGATCCGTGCAGTCGCCGCGCCCAACTTCCACAAATACTTCCAAACCAAACCCCTCTACTCGACAGGATCAGCCCTCCTAGGCGACTACACCACAGCCGGCCAGTTTCAAGTCGTTGACGGTCAACTAGTTGAATTAGTATCCGCTCCCGGTGAGCCTGTCAAGCTTCTCTATGCTGTGGTATCCGAGGAGCGCTCTATAAACGGCATGTCTCTTGCTGTTAGCTTCTCCGAGAGCAAGAACACATACGGAACGTTTGCATGGGGTGGGGACGATCTCCAATGGAGTGTTGCTGGTGTCAATCGCCCGAACAAGAGTGCGTGGTATGTGTGCACTGGGCAGAAACTGTATATCAACTTGGGTAACTACTTGTATCAGACGCCAAGTGGGTGTGCTGATCAGACTGTGCATTACTACAATGATAAGACGGCGAACAATTAGCAAAAGAGAGAAGGAAGCAGGATATACGGTAGAGCAAGAATTATAGATGCTGGGATGGCGGATGATTCGTAGCCATCGATTTGGGGAAGAAAACCACCCCACCACGAGACAGATTAGTGAGTGGTAATACCTGCAGTGTTACGTACCAAAACAAGAACAAGAAGGCGACGTTTTCAGGTGTTCACATGAGGTGTCAATTCGAAATGTTTTGCAATATGTCCATACATCGCCAAAATTGATGTATATCGAAACGTCTTGATATCCAAAGTCCACACGCTCCATATGCCTCATGGCATCCATATGACTTACATGCTCTCCTGGAGATCTATAACCAACGTCAAATGCTGACCTCATCTCGGCGACCCTAAAGCCTTCCACAGATGACAGCGACGACACTGCCCAGGCTATCACACAAGGGTTGGAGCGGCCAATCGCATCCATGGACCGGGTCTTTACCGTACTGGCCGGGTGCACAGTGCACGAGAGGGCAAGTAGGGCCGCGGCCACCCAGATAGCGCTCAACATCTTGGAAAGGCGCGGCGTCCTCAGCGGAAAGGTTGTACCACATGCGGCCATCATGGCCGTCCGCAGAATATTCAATTTGGTAGACGCGTAGATCCGCTGGGTGGTAGGCGACCTTGACTGTATGTTCATCAGTCGGTGTTGTTGAGAATGGCATAGGGATGAGTGCAAAATGTGCGAGAATACGTACTGACGTGACTACGCTGATTCATCTGGCATGGAAAAGGCGCCTTGTACCTCTGGCCTGGCTTGATTTCGACCATGCTGGTTTCGCCGGGGTTGTCGCATTTCTCGTGGCTAGGTCCAGAGCTGACTGGGGAGATTGAGAGACGAGCCCAGACAGAGAAAGAACAATGGTTCCTAACTTCACCGCGGATCTGAGGGACATTTGGATCACTCGCCATGCCAGGGACCAGAACGGAGGCCATTGATGAGCCTGGTTCGATAGTAGACGCCAGGAAGTTGTCCGGGGTGAGGACATGGCGCCAATCCTTAGACATAAGGTTGGGATTTGGAGAAGTCGGTGCAGCGTTTAGGAGTACAGTCAGGAAGCCGAGCGCAACTGAACATGGTTAGTGTAGAGAAGATAACGAGGTCCAAGGAGACTCTCACCAGCGAAGAATTTGGAAGAGTACATATTGTACTTGACGAATGGATCTGGTTGTTTCTAAAAGATCTGATAAGTGAGATAAGTGAGGTAAGTGAGTAAGACTGAGTGCTATATGAAAATAACCTTCGGAGAGAGATGCCGATCAAGGAAGTCGAGGCTGATATAGAAGGAAGGAACAAGAGGGAGATCACATGTTATAAGCCACTGATTTGGCGCTAATGGTGCTATTCCAGTGTGCTCCTACCGGTATTGCGATCGGAAGACATATGTGAGCACCTTTGCGACAAATACGTATGTGGAGTAAGAGGCGGTAGGCGCACGGGGAGGATGAGGGCACTCAGAAGACTGAAAGCGTTCGCTGCAGTAATTGGAGAGCATGAAACAGAACATGGCGACTATCGAGTTGTTTGAAATCAGAGATTACGTTGTTGGGTCATGGGAGAATTGAATGCCTCAGATATTGGGTGTTTGTCTAATGTGCTCAAGAAGTCGAACAATACTGTGAGTAGTTCACCGGTCTCTTGGCACTTCCGGTATTAGGTGTTTTCGTGACGTTTAGCACCCCACCACCCATTGTGCTTGTGAGTCGAATAATTAGCAATAAGGCGCAATTGTAACGTAGGGTGAGGCTTTAATGTTGCCTACGACATGAATGCTTCAGACCCAGACAAGCCTCCTCATAGCATAGTCTTTGCAGCATGCCATCCTGCAGCCCAATGCCAGAGCCGTGCATCGATAGTCTTGCCCTCCTGGTCGTACTTGACTAGGCGATCGTATAATTCATCAATCGGCACCACTACCCTCTCGATGAACTCGCCATCGTCAAGCACCTGCTCTGGCTCCTTGTCACCTTCCTTCAAGTTGATCTCCACCATGGCCAGCTGCATGTTCGCCGTGCTCAGACCAGGATCCGAGACGATAGTCGGGCTGATAAAGGCCAACTTGCCCTTGTACCCAGTCTCTTCGTGTAGCTCTCGTACGCTGGCCTCACTAGGTGACTCCTTCTCGTCAACTAGACCGGCAGGAAGCTCGACGCAGACGGCGTTGACAGGCGGGCGGTACTGCAGGATGATAATAGTGGAAGGCGGGTGCGAGGGGTGGCGGATGATTGTTGTTATGGCTACAGCATCGACGCCTGCCTTGCCCCGTGTCTTGCGTGCCGCGGCTTCCCAGACGCGATCTCTACCCGTTTGGTCTTGCCATGAGATTTTCTGGAACTCGATCCATTTGGCCTCGGTTGCAGGAAGCTCTTCTACCTTGATGATCTTTGGTTCTTGCGGCATGTTGTAGGCTGCGCGGAGTCGTGTACGGGTATGGAAGGTGCGTGGGAGGAAGCTGTTGAGTACAGTCTGATTGGATGATTGGACTGTGCTGCAAGGGCTGGGTTGAGTCGAGGTCGGGATGCGTTTCACCAGGGAACAAACCAGGCGTCCGTGCATTGGTAGTGATTGTCAACATGTATTGAGCGTGGACGCTGACGTATGAGACTCGGAGCTACAGCATCAGCCCCACTTCGCGTCATCACGAGGTCACGTGCGCATACAAGCTATATGGTCTTTTGAGAACCAAACGACACGCTGCAACATGGTAATGATAGCCACCCTCTAGCTTACATAGTGGTGAATGGATTATTTGGAGACGTGAACTTTACAGGGTGGTATCACCGAGGTGGCCCCCTGATGTCCGTCAACTTAACCATCAACGGACTCTTCTCCCAAGTATTGTACGCCTTCAATCCCTCGAACTCATTCTTTGGGTGCCAAAGCGGCGCTCCATCCGCCAGCTCGATATCAAAGTTCCAGAGAAGCGCGCCCAAAATCAATCGCAGCTCGACATATGTCAAGTTTCTGCCAATGCACCCTCTTGGTCCGGTTGAAAAGGGCTGCGCCGCTTTCTTGGAGTCGCCAGCAAACTTTCCTTTTGACTCTGGCGTGTCAAGGAAGCGCTCAGGAATGAAAGAGTCGGGTTCTGCGAAGTTGGACGCCGAGTGCGACGCGCCCCAGGAACTGACACAGACGGATGTGTTTTCGGGAACGGCATGGCCATCGATCAGCGAACCGCCTTTGGGCACTGTGCGGAGAAGACCGATAGGTACTGGAGGGAAGATTCGAAGACCTTCCTCAATGCAGGCATTCATGTACGGTAGGTTGCCAAGGACATCCATATTGATATCCGCTTCAGTCTTACACGCGCCTCTTAGCTCATCTTTCAGCTTCTTGAATGTTTCTGGGTTCCTCAAGAGGTAGTTTGTCAACCCGCAAAGCTCTGTTGCAGTAGTTTCACTCCCTGCCACGATGAACAGCGCTGCGTTCATGATGACTTCGTCGTCACTGACCTCGTTCTTCTTCTCTCTTTGTTTCAAGATATACCAGATGAAATCGCGATGATCGTTGTCTTTTTGATTCAATCTCTTCACAGTCTTCTCTGTCGAGTTGCGTAAATGGCGGAAACGGCGCTCGCGGACGACCGTAGGAATGCACCACATGAGGAACTTTTGGGCGACAGAACCGGGCCTAGCGAAGCGGCGGGTAGCTTGTTCAATAGCGCCGGACTTTATGGCTTCGTAGATTAATACAACCCAATTTGCTGATTCCGAACCTTCGCCTGTGCATAGTCTGTCAGTACAAAGTAAGGGATAGGTCGCACTAACTACTGTCTTGGTGAAACGTACCTTCTCGCAGACACCCGAAAGGCTCGCCAAAACTAAGATCACCAATGATATCGAAAGTGCAAAAGTTGAACCACGATACCATGTTCGCCGATTCACCTCTGTGCGCCTTCTCCCTCAATCGATCTACAAACAGATCTACGTATCCCTTCAAGATCGACTGTTGTTCCAGCAGTGCCTGCTTGCTGAACGCATGAGCAAGTGCTCTCCTCTGCCTCGCATGGTGGATGTCCGGTGCCATTGTCAGGTTGGTGGCACCTGGTATTGCTTCCACCGCACCAACATGAATAGGATCTTTGTCCATGTTCGCAAGTCCGACCCGGTGTCCATAAATGTCGTCCCATGCTTTTGCTGTATTGAAAGAGAGCTCGTTGGGCATGACACGCACGACGGGCCCGTACTTGTCGTGATGAATCTTGTACTCAAAGGCAATGCGACCACGTAGCAAAGAAACGATGGAGGGTATGGGAGAAATGCGCCATAACAGCGGTCCAGGATATTTGGCAAGCGGGTGAAGTGTGAGGTTATACACAGCTGTCACAACTACATATGTGACAAACTAAGGCTGTCAGGTCAGTTCTTAGACACGAATTCAATAAGAACGTACCGCGACGGGCGTCCATATAGCAATCAGACGAAGACGATCTTCATCTACAAACCCCATGGCGAATTTTATCTTCTGACCTATCTTTTCAACATTCGAGAACCAGGAAAGACTGATGGCAACGGCTAAGTTGAATCGAATGAAGTAAGGTTAAACAGAAAATTGAATCGAACGATTGATGAGATATACCAATTCTGACAGGCCCCTGTGACCATGACGCTACCAGTACTGCGATGTGTAGTCATCCGGTCTATCTGTAGCGGCAGCTGCTCGCCAAAGCATTTCCGACGCTTTGTATGCAAAGGAAAATGGGAGACTTGCCAAAAGCATCAGACCATAAGAACTGACCGTCAAGCGAGGTTCTCGAAACAAGATTGCGCTGATCCACAGCATATGCCGTCGCCTTGAGGCGTAATTGCCCGTAATGCGAACCTAGGATAAGCAATTACCTCGTCTTTGAGAACGGTGAATTTCCAAAGTTGGAGTTTGGATATGCTTTAGCGTGATGTAGCGTGAACGCCCCGCGTGCCCGCATGTTAACCCCGCACAGGATTTCAAAGTTGCATCTGGCGAATAAGCGCAAGTCAATGATACGCGACTCGTGAAACGCATCGGAACGATGAGGCTTGAATCGTAAAGGCAGTACAATATTCAAGGCGCCTTGCATGACATCGATGAAGACTGGAGCGGAGGGAATCGCCTGTAGCGAGTTTGTAGCCACACCCAAATTGCTCTTCTGCTGTGCTCGGTCTAGCAATGTGGATTGCTCAACCAATGTTCAGCGTGCGTGTAAGACATCCATGATACGAAGCGTCCAGCCCATGTCCTGAGTACTGTCGGATAGCAGTATACGCCTTGAAGCTTCACCGGACCAAATGATTCTTGACACCTGGCCAATGATGTATGTTCGAGATCTTTGGTGGTCATGTGTGGTACTGTACCGCAATAGGCGGTGTTATTAGCCCTTGAGCACTGATGGTCTTGATAGCCTCCAGCCAGATCTCCCCCATGTGAAAATACCCAGCGTACGACGGATGCAACCCATCAACCAACTCACTAGGCCCGATGATGCTGTGATCGACGACCGCGAGCTTGAAGCCCTGTTCAAGCTTCTTCCTCACCACCACAGGCACTGCATCGTTGAAGGCCTCGATATTTGCCCTGGTCTGCATCTTCTCTGCCTGTATGATCTTTGCAACGAGCACAACGGCATCCGGGCATACATCCAGCACTTCATCCAGTAAACTTGCTAATCGATTCGGCGCATCAGACCATCTTTCTGCCATACTTTCAGGGCGAGCCAGATCATTCGTGCCAACGTGTAGCAGCACCAAGTTTGGTCGCATCTGTAGCCCGTCTCTCATTACGCCCTGCAGCTGGCTAATTGTATGCCCCTCATGCCCCTCATTGTCATTGTTGTCCATGAACCCAGAGTGCTGTGTGCCAACAAAGTCAACCGAGTGGTAACGCGCACGTACGAGCTCACGTAGCAGTCGCGCGCGATATCCGTCTGTTCCATTCTCTTGGTTTGGTTGCCAGCCCCATGTTGTTGCGTCGCCAAGTGGTAGTATGCGTAGTGGGAGGTTGAGGTTCGCGCCGGGTTGTCTGTGGGGAAGGCCAAAGATGAGTAGGATCACTGCAAGGATGTTAGCGATACACAAGATGTAATTGTCTTGATGCACGAGTGAACAGGGATATTCACTACATTCTCCAAGCAGCGTCGTGGAGTTCTCAATGCTTCAATGGGGATTTGAGTCAACTCCGTGCATAGCATTAGCATAGCGTTAGCATCGCGACGTACCTAAGCAAATCACGCCCACCAGGCCTATACCCTTCAGGATAGCCTTGTATCGCGGGCCTCCAACGGATGGATACATCGTAGAATGCTGAGAATTGTCATTTGTCGCGGAGATCCGAATCGCTTCGCAAGCGTTGCGGTCGTGCAGCTGTGAGGGGTTTTGCTATAAGTCGGTGGTGAACGTCATAGCTCTAGTCATATAGGGGCATTGCGCTATTCATAGACGGTGCTACTTTTACTAGGAGACGCGCGTTATAAGCAGGAACTGGATGCATCTTCAGTTTCCGCTGCGCCAGTCGAAACGGCACTGGGCCCGGCAATAACGAGTTCAGGAGGCGTTACGTCGGACCCTTCTACGCACGAACCCTTTGACATGAACAGCAGAGCCTTGCCTCCACAACATCATGGTATAACCTTCGCTTTCCTCATGCGATCAAACGCAGTCGTCCATGTTTCCTTAGTTGCTATTTCCTCTGTATATCCAACCTTGTGTGAAGCCTCCATACTCATCTGGCGGTCGAAATCAAACATCGTCATGATAAAGTACTGGTGCATGTTAGCTACCACGCCCGCGAAGGACACACTCAGCAATCCTCTTCACTTACCTGGAATCCCGGATGCGTGATATCGCTATCTACGCTGCCCTTCTTGAGGTTGTGCTTCTTCTCTAGCTCCTCCCACTCCTTCTTGTGCGCGTCAATGTACGCTCCAGGCTGAGGTGAGCCCTCTTCAGGTCCAGTACCCTTTAGACCAAAGTAATCACAGATTATCGGCCACTTGCCGCTCCAGCTGTCTTCTTGACCACCCACGTTAAAGCTCTGTGATGCAGTTTTCTCTGGGTTCAAAGACGCATGGATAGAGAAGTGCGCGACCATGTCTTGCGGAGACTCATTGTACTTGTTCACCCACGATTTCTCAGTACCAGGGAACGGGCATTTTGCGCCTTCGCCCTCAATGGATTGATAGAGCGAAAGATACAAGGCAAGCGTTTGCGCGAGGCAGTATGCGTTGTTATTTGGTACGAATCCAATGATGTTGTCTGGTCGGACCTCACACCAACTCCAGTTCTTTCCTTTGGAGATGCGTTTCAAGCAATCAATCTGGTTGTAGTAGAAAAGCTGTGAGAGGTATGGCTCAGGAATCGGTGGCAATGTCTCCTTGAGTGGTAGCGCATCCGCAAATGGAAACTTGTCGAGCATCTGGCAGCCGTAGATTTTGGTGCCCGTAGGAAGAAGTACGTATGACAATTTGGATGAAAGATGATCGATCGCAGTCACGGCACGCTCGAGCATGGCTTCATTGGTCTTGCACTCGGAGTCGGGGTCATCGATCTGCTTGTATGCTTGGTCGTGTTAGACCCGGCAAATTTCCCTAGAGCCTTTAACTTACAGTAGAAGTACACTTGTGTCACAGTCTCGACGTCTTTGACCTTCTCTTTGATTTGCTCCTCCAGCTCCTCCTGCGTTCCTTTGACTAGATCGACACCAGATACGATTTGGAGTCTGGGGTCGTCAGGCCAGAGAGCCATCTCACGTGTCAGTGGCCGATTGACCATAGCTGTGACTCTGGAGAAGGCATCTTTGGAGGGATATCCGTTGAGGATGGCATTAACAATAGACCACCCTGAGATACCGGAAGCGCCGTAAACAAGCGCGTGGTTGCTCATCGTTCAGACACTAGAAACACGTCAAGATAGGTTCTCCGAGAAGCATGCACAGTGAAGAGCTCGTGGGGACAGGAACGCGACGCGTATCAGCTGGACCCTAGTATATGTACTTGCTTTCACATTTGAATTAGCCTGTATCGCTTTGGAATGTACTATGACTACCCAAGCCAGCCACACTGCAATATGCAAAACCCTTGTGCTCGCAGCAGTCTGGTGCTGTCAATGCTGATGCGGAGAACAATATCCAAGATGTGTCTGACGGACTCTTCCCCGCAGCGTCAACCACCATGACTCGTGCAACGACGCTCTTTCGGTTGCTATCCCGACTGCTTGCAGTTCTCGGGAAGAAGCCGACCAGCGTTGTTGCACTGCATGTGCGGTGCGATGTGAAGTCGTCGTAGACAGAGTGTCATGGTCATTCTCAGCATCTTCATGTTGCTTGCCGGGCCATGGACCCCTGTCATGGCGCCTCTCCGACCCTCCGACGTCGGCCTATCTTATCATGCACGCTAAAATTTTGGGAAGTTGCGTCACGGCGAACATTCACTTGGAGTGCATCGGACGAGGCCTTGAACTTGTTTGTAGATTGCAATGGCTTCACGAATGGCTTCCAAGCGCGTATGCGCTGCATTGCGTACATCGCGTGTCAACTACACGTCGGCGCGGTTTGCTTCGGCAGCCTCTGCAGTTAGGGGATCCAGTCTACCACAGGATGTAAAGGATGCCATAGCCGTGAGTAACAGCCACTTTGCACCCTTTTGAAGCTTTCCATAATGACTCGGTATAGCGCGATTCTACACTGGCCACGCCCGACCCGTCCTCATCCTCCAAGACAGCCGGCCTGGTCAACCAGCAGCTACCGTACATGGTCCCAACCTATGTACGACCACCGCCCATGTTCGAGAAGGGAGAGGGGTGCTACATGTGGGACATCGAGAACAGGAGGTACCTGGACTTCACAGCTGGTATCGCCGTCAACGCGCTCGGGCACTGCGACGCTGGGGTAGCCCAGGTCATTGGAGAACAGGTGCGTCTGCCACCACTACCAAGGATACAGCCAACTGACAACTGTACAGGCCAAGCAACTCATGCACACTTCAAATCTCTACCACAACCCGCACACAGGCTTGCTGTCCAAGCAGCTCATTCAGCTCACACACGCGACCGGGGGCTTCGCCAGCGCGACTCGCACCTTCATCTGCAACAGCGGTTCCGAAGCCAACGAGGCTGCCATAAAGTTCGCGCGCAAGGTCGGCAAGTCAATGTCACCAGACAAGGACAAGCATGAGTTTGTATCTTTCCACAACTCATTCCATGGCCGGACTATGGGAAGTCTGAGCGCGACACCAAACCCCAAGTACCAGACACCATTTTCCCCAATGGTGCCCGGCTTCAAGTACGGCACCTTCAACGACGTCAACGCCGTCAACGAGCTAGTCACCGATGCCACATGTGGTGTCATTGTAGAGCCAATCCAGGGAGAGGGTGGCGTAAACGTCGCAACGCCCGAGTTCCTTCTCGCGCTGCGAAAGAGATGCACAGAAGTCGGCGCAGTCCTCATCTTCGACGAGATCCAATGCGGCCTGGGCCGAACAGGTACTTTCTGGGCACATGCAGGCTATCCCAAGGAATGCCACCCCGACATTGTCACCACGGCCAAGGCACTTGGCAACGGTTTCCCTATCGGCGCCACTATCGTAAACGATTTTGTCTGCGAACACATCAAGACTGGTGACCACGGCACCACCTTCGGTGGCAACCCTCTCGGATCGCGTGTCGCTTCATACATCCTCTCTCGCCTGTCATCGCCAGAGATTCTCGACTCGATACCCGCTAAAGAGCAAGCATTCCGCAAACACTTTGATACTCTGCGAAAGCGCTTCTCGAGCCAGATCAAGGAAGTCAGAGGCAAGGGACTTATCCTAGGCCTTCAACTCGATGTAGATCCCACGCCCATCGTTACTGCTGCTCGTGAGAGAGGTCTCCTGATCATCACCTGTGGTACAAACACCTTGAGGTTTGTCCCACCACTTGTCATCACCGAAGCAGAAATCGAGGAGGGCATGCAAATCCTGGGCCAGGCCATGGAGAGTGTATGGATCAAGCACGATGACGTCGAGGGCACGGATGGTCAACAGGAGATGCGATAATGCATGTCCTGGTTAGCATGGCGTTCATCGGCGTTCTAGACAGGTAGCATTGTACATATTTCACCAAAGTGGCATGAGGCAGATGTAGTGGAAGTGTATCTAGAGGAGTGTATCATTGATGTTCACGCTCAGATACTGCATTGCGTCGAAGCAGTAAGAACAGAAGCCGAAGCCAAGAATGACGGGTATAGATGAAAAGAAGAAACGCTCCATCGTCACTGGAGATGGATGAGCCTGCAATTGTACGCAGAACGTGAAATAAAAGCCGTCGTACCTCAACCATTGCCGAAGATACTAGCCGATGGTGCGAATGAGGCTGCATCAGCCGCTGACATACTACCATCGTGAGTTTGCCCTCGCAGTGGCAAGCCACGATCCGAGTCGGTCCCAGAGGATGTCGTCGCAATGTGCGCATCATGCACGTTATTCAACTTGCCTTTTCTTGCACCCTTGGAAGTCTTTGCCTTCTTCTGCGGTGCATTTTCGGTCTTCTTCTCTGCAACTCCATACCGATGGTACCTGTGCCGGTTCGGGCGCCCAAAAACGTGCTGCGGTGTCTGCAATAGTGCGAAGCTTGAAACGCCTTCGCCCTCGTCGTCCCCTACAGACAGTATCTGGGCGTTCTGAATAATCTCAACGATGCCAGCATCGTCCTCAAGCTCTTTGGCTTCTTGATGATCAGCACGAGACATCTTCTTCGCGCGATTGAAGATTGCATGCTCAATCGTGTTTTCAAGAACAAGAGTTTCAACGAGCACTTCTTTCGTCTGTCCGATGCGATGGGCTCGTTTGATAGCTTGGGCCTCGATGTTAGGCCTATTGATTGGGTTCACAATGAGCACAACGCTCGCCGCATTCAGATTCAACCCCAGAGCACCACACGCGACGTCGATGAGCAAGACACGAACGTCCGGATCCTCGTTGAACAAGCGTACGTACTCAGATCGTAGAGTGTTGTTCAGAGTTCTGGCGTAGATGCGGTGGTTGACATACATCGACTCGAGGCATTGGGCAATATAGAACGCCGCGTTATCCCCGTCATAGAAGATGATAATTTTATCTTCCGCCTGATGTTTCATCACCTTGTCTAAGAGATAGGTAAGCTTGGCTGACGTCGTACCCACGATACGTGTGTTCCGCAAACTCGAGTCTTTGGCAAGTTCCGCTGTCTCGTCATCAAAGGTGAGCTTTCGTTTCTTTGAGCGAATAGGTGATGCACTATCTGTGTGATCTTTAATGCCATTTACGGGCTTGGCTCCTGTTGGTTTTGGAGGAGAAGCTTTGCTTGTAATGGTCGATGCCCGTCGACTAGTCAGTGGCTGCACCAACGAAGTTGGAACTCCAGTCCTTTGCAAGGGCGCGCCATCGACCATACCCTCGCTCGACCCTTTGGCCTTGCTTTCTTCTTCAGCCATCGCGATAGCCTTTGCTTTCGCAGCATACCCAACAGCCTCCAGCCCGGCGGCGGGGTCTAGCGAGCGTATGCTGCTATCGACGTAAAGTTGGCCTTCAATGAGTTGTGTGGCTCCGATCATGATAGGCTTCGCCGGGTAAACAAGTGCGAAAGCCTCTTGGGCCTCCTTTGGCCAACTCTCGACAGCTACGCCTACCTCATGAGATGTGCTCAATGCCATCCATTCAGCGGAAGCTGTAAGTTTTGATACGACTTGGCTGCTCTCCAGGAGTGATTTTGCGTCATCAAGGGAGCAAATTTTGTCCTCTTTGGCAAGGTACTTGTTAGTAGTCTCAAGCGTGGAGACTACATCAGAAAGACTGAATCCAGTCCATGTAAAGTTGGACTGACGTAGATTCCTGATGAGGCTATGACGGGCTTTGACGCTGTTTTTGTGAAAAAGGTAGTCGACATCGGTCCTTTCACTTGTAATGGCGTTCGCTCGGAGGACTTGAATGAAGAGGTTGGCTATCATTTTATCAAACCAACATGGCTTGAGATACACAACCCGGTGTCTCATCGGAGGCAAAATGATATCTTTCTCAACATCTTCCGGTCGTGTTTTCACGACCAGGCCTTCCAGCGTTCGGCTAAAACACGATGAGAATCCGGAATAGGTCTTTCTGTAGTGGTGCTCGTGACGGTAGATATATTCGTCCCAATCGAGTTTAGCTTCAGAGTTGTCGCACCAAGGTCGGACCATGAGAAAGTTTGAAGCGAGCATGCCTAGAGCCTTTGCAGCTTTGGTATCTGGGTTGAATTCGAACGATTTCCTCTGGTCGATAGCGAGCTTGCGCTGCAAAGCATGGTCGCTTTCCACGTCAACTGTGGACATATCCACCTCCACACCCACTAAATCCTTCGCAGGTGCTGTGAAAAAATGTCAGTCTGCGTGTAAATAAGGAACTCTCTTTGTGACTTACTTCCTGACACAACCCAGCGTCTCTCGGCCTGTATCTGTTTAGCAACCAGTACAGCATTGGAAACAGAGCTCGAGAACGAATGGCCTTCGTCAATGATGATACGTAGCCAATGTATCTTCTTCAATGGCGATTCGTAGACTCTATCAGTGTCAACACAGCTACAATCGGGTATTCTGGTTGCTCCTATGTAAGGGCAGTTGCAAACACGAGAGACACCCGAGACCATACGTCGTCCAAGTTCGTCTTGGCCGTCCTGTATCTCCTGTTCGAAGCGGTTGCGAGTAAACAAAACCACATCGAACTTCATGAGTTCGGTAGGAGCTGGTAGTTCGCTCCGGAACTCCATAGTCTCGTTAGGTTGTTGAAATATCTTGGTCTTACTAGAGCGCTTGGGCACAGAATCCACCACGAGGATCTTCAGCCCACCTTGAAGAACATGCTTCTGTATCTCCGACTGCCACTGATGCAGCAAGTTCCGAGGCACAATAATGATGGTAGCGGAAGAGAGCACCAGTTGGCGCGGTAGTGGTATGCGGGTGTTCCTATTCATACGTGGGAGATCTGGTGGTATCTCATAGAATGGGATGTCTCGGTCAAGGGCTTCCATGAACCTCGTCATGTCTCCCGCACCATTTGCCTCAGATTGCTCAAAAAAGGCTTTTGCTGGAATGGAATGCCGGCCCGCGGCGGAGATTGCCATATCTGCCAATGATCCAGGTCGATTTCGGGAAGGAGGTACTGGCCGGTATGCAGCGGGCATTTTAGGAAGATGGTTTTTACTTGCCAATATAACAGTTAGGCAGATGACTGTCTTTCCTAAGCCCATAGTTTCTGCTAGAATACCACCACGGTTCGTTTCGTAGTAGCGCGGCTCCTGTAAAAATGATCCATCTCGAGCCCCGAAGTAAAACCTCTTCCCATTTGGTGCGGTGCGAATCTCCAACCGTGGATCAAGCTGCAACTGTGGTGAGGCTTCTCGTTGCAGCATCAAGCTCGCCGAACGTGTCTGATAAGCGTAAAGCCTGGTTTTGAGCCCCGGCAGCGCCTGTTCGCCAAGATCCGACCACTCAGATACCGCTGCAGATTCTAGTACGTCTTGTACGGCAGCACGTGTATAACGACACTTGATTGCCGCTAAATTTGGCGCAGGGGATGGTAGCTTGTTGAACAGGTAATACAACGAGGACGGTTCTGCGCTGGCCCAAGGATCAAAGTAACATATCTCACTCTGCCCGTAGTCACCGTTCCAAGAAGTCGATGAGATGTCGATCTTTTGTAGGAGTTGTCGCAAAGCCGTCTTCAAACTCTTGCTATTCCGGTCGATAAATCGACGACCCCAGTCTTCTGGTAACAGGTAGACGCGGATGAGACTTCGGAGAGACGCGCTGTTGAGCGTTTTATTATGGAAGAACAAGCGAATCCAGCGGGCTTCCAACAGTCTCGATGCTTCTGTGCCAATAATTGTTTTGATTTCGTCCGGAAGTTCGCGGTACAGTAGTTCAATCCAATCGCCACTCGATGGTGAAGCAGATATGATATCGATAGGCTGCTCGAGGTGAAGGCAGCCAAGAGCGATGTACTGATCCATGTCTTGTGCCTTGGTCTCCGCACTTTTGATATTGTTGTCGGTTGGTGAGAGCGCTGGAGTAACGGGCGTAGACTCTCCGGTCGCTGCAGAGGCAAACGCCGAAGACACAGACCTAGCTTCTTCACGGTCGTTCATCTCTTTGTCAGCCGCGTTATCCATTTCCTTGTGTGTCGCTCGATGGTCATGTCTGGCCACTGCCCATGGATTGGCCAACTCAATTGATGATAGTCCAACCATCACAAACGTGTATCACCATTGGAGTCGATAGGAGCAGCCGCAAATCCTAAGCGGTTTAGCACCAGATCACGAATCGAGAATGGTTGTCAGTGAGCGGATAGATAGAGATGAGAGGCAACCGCCAAGTACACGGTGTTAGCGTTTCGCGCTAATGCTTTGGGTTAGCGCGGATGATCAAAATGAGGGTTGACCGGCAGCCGAAATAGGATGGACCTCTTGTTTGGTAGTGATAGATCATCTTGATGATGACATGAGTGGCTCTGTGTTGTTTCCTCGACAGTTGTAACATGTCAGGGATGTTTTATATCCGGTGGCAATTATGTCTACGCGTGACGCGACTGTAATCAATCCGCGATATTGCAGACCAGGATCAAGCAATGCGTAGACGCGATCACATATAAAGAGATCTGGAGAGCGAAGTAACTGTCCTCATTGTGTATTCAAACCGTGAATTCGGATTCTTGTTGCAATGCTCGCCTTTTTCGCTCAAGTCTTGCTCATTGTCTCAGGCGCACTTGCGGTGCCAGTGGAGAACGCTGGAAACTCAGCAACCGTAGGCAAGATACGAGGCGTTCGCGATCCGATCTACCATCTGTATCTCCAGGCCAACTCTAAAAATGGTATGCCACCCCTCATATATCAACCTTCCTATTTCTACTTCTCCAGTAGTTTGCCGTTGACACATATAGCATCCATACCCGTCCTGGGCCCCGAAACTGCAGCTGACGAATTTACTATTGGTGGCACAATTCAATCGAAGAAGACAAGTCTGTACCTGAACATAGCGACCACGTCGACAAGCTACAAGCCATTGGTATGGGGGACGACTGGGGATACGACAGCATGGGGGTTGGAGGGTGACACCATTATAACTGTACAAGGTAGCAGCTACGGTCGGCGTAAGCATCCCAGGAGGTGTAGAAGGCACGGTTCGCCCTTTTTGTTGCTAACACGCGATGTAGAGCTAAATTTCCTCGTATGCAAATCGACGGATGCAAGTTACTACGACTTGTACCTTCAGACCGGAAGCGACGTTCCGAGTGGAAGGACGTGCAGCAATTACCAGACAATACATCTACCGTGTCTGTGCTGAAGATTGTTACTGCTGGGCCACTTGTTGTTGTAGTTCATGTTCTTGAAAGAGCAGATACAAAGTAGCAAAGGCAGAAGCTTCGCATCAGGTCGCCGACCTTGGATCACTAATCTAAACGTGATATGGGTAGTTTTGTGATCCTCCGCAAATCAATCTTGGAAGACAGCGAGAGAGGCGAGAGATCTGTCCGCGGCAGTGCTAACCACATCGGGTATGGCATGTTTCGAGACCGAAGAGACCCACCGAGGGGATCCACCGATGATTCGATGATTAGTGACGTATCGACCTTGTTAACTCCGAACAGCGTAGCTCTTTCGTTGATGATTAATGGTACAGATGTGGGGAAGATGCTGTTGCATATCACTGTCCCCGCTTCCTTTCTTCAAACGTCCATCGATTGAAGCATATCAACAATCATGTCATACAGCAGGATAGGAGTCGTGACCGGCGCGAACAAGGTACTCATACACATCTACGGTCCCTTCGCAGGTACTGGACTGATTCCTATAGGGCATTGGACGCGCAATCGTCCAGCAGCTAGCCCTCCAATATCCCAAGTCGCCGCTTAACAGCGGACCCTTTTTGATTTACCTGACAGCTCGTGATCAAGGCAGGGGAGAAGCTGCCGTCAAGGACCTGGAGCAAGATGCGCAGCTCAAGGAGGCAAAGGCATTGAAGGCCGACGGAGGGCTATCGGAGATTAAATTCCACTTGCTTGATATCACGAGCAGCAGCAGCATCAAAACCCTCGCAGACCACTTGAAGCAGGCGCACGGAGATGGCATTGACTTTGTCATCAACAACGCGGGAATTGCCATGGATGGCTTTAGTGCGTATCGCTTCCCGTACCACGTATTGCTTATGCTAACGGCTACAGACGCCGATATTGTCAAGACAACCCTCGACTGCAACTACTACAAGACGCTCGAGGCATGCCACGCTTTCCTTCCCCTCCTGAAGCCCACGGGCCGCATCGTAAACCTCGGCAGCATGGCTGGTAAACTCAACAAGTACTCCGAAGAAGTCCGTAACCGCTTCCTCGCCTCCAAGACCGAGGAAGATGTCACAGAGATCATGAAGGAGTTCGTTTCTGCTGTGGAGGCTGGCAAAGAGAAGGACGCTGGATTTCCTAGTGCAGGTTATGCTGTGAGCAAGGCGGGAATAATTGGAGGCACACGAGCGCTGGCCAGACAGGAGAAGGAAAAGGGAAGCAAAGTGTTGATCAACGTCTGCTGTCCTGGCTACGTCAATACCGATATGACGAAAGGTGAGAATCTCCCCTGTTCGGACTTCAAAGGAAGCATTAACTAACTTGGCATACCAAATTTTAGGCAACGGAACACGAACTGTAGAAGAAGGAGCTCAAACGCCGGTGCTGCTTGCAATCCATGACATTCAGAACAAGACGGGTAGCTTCTGGCAGTACGAGAAGGAGATCGACTGGGTTGGATAGAAGTACAACAGAATAAAAAAAAAACAGACCCTCCAAGACGGATCCGCATTTTTGTCTTGTCACCATGCCTGTGATTCGATAGCTGGAAGCTTACACGCATACAAAACACACGCTACAGTTCTCTTACAACAACGAAGTGGAAAGGAGCTTCAACAGCAAGAAGCTCGACGCGTTTACAGGGCTAACGCGTCTTGCATTACTAGCGCGGATCTCTTCTGGCGGAAGAAGCGACGCGTGAGGAAGGGGCGATAGAGGGAGGTGCGTCCCACGTTGAAAGAGCAACTCAGCAAGACTTCCAAACTTCAAACAATTCTGATTATGCATATTCTACGTACCTGGGTGGAGCTGGGCGACTACTATAACCAGACACCATCAATAGATGTCTCTCAACTTCACCAAAGGCGAATCTAAGAGGTTGTAGCTGTGAACCGTGCCGGGGAGTGTCTTTAGCTGCAGAGGTGGCAAAAGTCGTGCCTTCCTCCAAGACCAAGATGGACCCACTTTCGAGTTCGACATTGTGCCATCTCGTGCAACACGCGCCTTGTGACTGGACGAGCGAAATTTAAGGTTATCCGATGAGTGGTGACGCGTAGCTGCTTCGCGTCTTCCTGCAAGACTTCCTGCTCTTTGGCTATACCACTCCACCGCCCTTGACTGACACCATGGCCACCAACGTGAGTAGGACTGCACAGCGGAGATGCCGTACCTGTAAACCATTGACCAGACTAATTCGAGTATCGCAGACTCATGCTACCGCAAAGCCAGCGAAGCCAACGCCTCTCGACTGGGTAAGTTGACCGCAACTCCACTGCCTCGCTCCTTCCAACTTTTTGCTCTCCACCTCTTCGCTCTTCCACGTCTCCACTTCCTACCTCTCGCACTTCTCATCTACTGCACTTCTCACGTTGTTCCATTACCCATCTCTTTCAACTCCGGTGAACTGGTAGCCACGCTCTTGCACCTAAGCTAACATATTGTTAAGAAAACCTACTGGGTAGAGAAGAAAGAGAAGAAGGCACAGGAACAAGAGCGCAAGCGAAAGAGAGAAGAGGACGCGCAAGACGTGCCGCCTGCGTGAGCCCGACTTTGGTGACTGTGACAAGAAGAAGAAGCCCCAGATCATACTGCCGTTGCGTGGGGCTGCAAGTTCGAAGTTCTTTACTTGTTCGTTAGCGGAAAATGGGATTTTCAAGCAATGCAAAGCGATATCTTTGGCGCTCGACCGAATTATAGAACCACATTGTCGACGCCTCCCCATCGAAGAATCAGTTTCATCATCACTTGGTGTAGCTCGGTCTCCTTGGTGTAGTTGGTTATCACGTGGGTCTCATATCACCATATATGACTACTATCATAGTAGATATCCCAAGGCCGCCAGTTCGAGTCTGGCAGGGGACAAGTTGTTTTTTTCGTTCTTGCAAGTTCACGCGTATGCTAGAACTTTGTCAGGTTGTATTTTTTTTTTGGAATTATCCTCGATAAAGTGTCGTGGGCTCTCCAAGCTACAAACTCGCAAGGAGCAAAGCAAAACTAGTAGCGAGGTATTCTTTGACTTGATATCGTTCTTTCCTCGTATTCACTTTGCAGCAAGGCTGTGTGGCTTGGAAATCTCAGCCGCGTTCTCACAACGAGAGTAGGTTGGAACATCATCTCAAATATTGGGATTTGACGGAGCACATCGTAGGATTGAAAGCATGGACGCAAAAGCAATATTAGCTGATTGAGTTGTGTTGGTGAGCTAGTATGGTCACGGCACGCATGCACGCAGCGATGTATGTTTTCCTCGATGCCTCCCGCCATTAGCCATCGACGCGTCCCCTCAACACTCACCACCCTTGGAATGTGCAACGCCCGCCAGCTACGCCTGGTATAGTCCCGGCTATATTAGAGGAAGCTGCGGGGGTCTTGAATATACCGAATTATAGATGTTTCAGGCATCTTTCTTTTGCCAGACGCGTCGCACAGTAGCAAAATCGGTGTTCACGTGCAGCCGTGATAGATCCGCGTTGCTCAGGGGCTTCCGAAGCGATTACGAAACCCGTTGATGTCATGATTCAACGAACATCCAAATCGACCTCATCAACTACAATCATAACCCATCAAGATTGATGGGCATTCATCTCAATTCAGCAGTTAAATCCTACCAAATTCCAGTCTCATACTATCTGATACGTGAAGATGCCTCAGGCGAAGAAACAGAAGACCGTGCACGATTCCGGCGTTTTCCTGGAGGAGTCGGGCAGTGAGAGCTCAGATTCTGCTTTTGAGACGGTGCGCACCCACAAGAACGACAAAGAGAAAGGCGCAAAAAGCAAGAACAACAGCACGGATGAGACCCAGTCAAACAAGCCTGCAAATCCAGCGCCGTATGATTACGTCTGTATACCTCATCCTTTCTTCGACGTAGAGGACAGGAATTGGCTGAATTGGACATTGGATCCGGACGCCTACATCGAAGATGAATTGGAGGTTTTTGAAAAGCTCTACAAGCCTATTGACGATAAGTTCAGAAAAGACGGTGTCTTCAAAGCACCGCCGAGCAAGTTTCCGGGGCACAAATGGGTGATGATGTGGGATGCTTGGCTGAAGGTGGACTTACTAGGAAGGAAAGCCAAATATTGCGATCCTGACGGTTTCGGCATGGAGCTATACCAAGACTGGCAAGGATGGGGAGTACAGGAGATCTTGGAAAACATGGTATGTGCGAAGATCGACGGGGTATGCTAAAGCTGACAATGAAAAGCTGATCGAGTTCGACGAAAGCTTCCGGGCCAACGATGACCGCATTGAGAAGATGTGGTCGGTGGTTAGTGCAGTGGGCCTCTGGATGAATTGCGATGAAAACATCGACGCGCTCACGAACAATGAAGACGGCAAGACAACCTGCGAGCTTTTTGGCGTACTGGGCTGCGCATTACTGACTGTGCTTGCGACCATTGAAGCAGCAGGCGAGCTCAAGCCAGATTCCCGCTTTCTCGACTTGACTCTTGGTATCTCATATTACTTGGAATTATCGCACGATCTCCCTGCATATGGCATTGAAGGAGAATGTGTAGCTTGGCGCAAAGAAGCCGTCAATTACTTCAAGAAGGGCAAGCTCGATCCCGAGAAGGGAACCTATACAACGAAGCTGCGTATAGAGAAATTGTCCAAAGTAGGCAACTTCGATGGTGACGACGGCGACTACAAGGAAACCAATGGACTTGTTGAGGAGGTCATGACTGGGATGACGAGCTCTGAGAGACTTCAGGCTGAGAGACTTCAAGCTGAGAAAGCGACCGCGAACCCTGTCGGCAGCTCTGCTGCAAATCCGGTCATGATCCCTGAAGACGACGACGCGAACAAAGAGAACGAAAATCCAGAGGCCACAGGCGACAAGGCTGTCTCTTCGCTACCGACTTCAAATGGCAAGAGAAAGAGGGGTTTGAGCGATGCAGAGAACGTGAAGGATACGAACAATGGGAAGAAAGACCCATGGCACTGGAATGAGAAGTTCAACGCGTACAAGGAGAGGCAAGGTGAAACATTGGGTGGTGAAAAGTATGACATTACCAAGATGACCAGGGCAGACAGAGCAGCTACGTCGTTCACTGGGAAAGATCCCCTTGCAAAAATCCCGGTGAAGTATCTAAAGGAAAATCTACTGGATAAAGCTTAGTTGTAAGGAATAGGATCTGTCGGAGTGTAATACACGTTTACGATGATATGTGCAAGTTCCTGTTTTCGATGTCTAGGAGGCGTTTTTCAATCTAGACTGCTATTGCACACACCCCCGACTATCCACTGGCCAGATCTCCTCGATAACCCCCTTCCGATACGCATAATAGACATTATGTAAGTTCACCGTCGGATCGATATGGCTAGGTACCATCTCAACCCTATCTCCTATCTTCAACTCTTCACCCTTGCCTTCCTCCCAGGCAAGACTGCCATGCTCATCACCCAGAACCCCATACGTATACCCCGGTGTCTTGCATTCTGCAAGCCCAGAGTCCGTCGTCAGCGACTTGAGTCCTGCATCAATAGTAATGATATTCGCGCCCTGTTTGCTGAGAACTGTAGAGAGGATGGTCAGACTCTGAGCGTAGTTCGTCGAACCAACGGCGTTGCGATAATCCGTGTCCATGAAGAGGAAAGAGCCAGGCTGTACCTCGGTGATTCCAGGGACGGTGACACAGAACTCTGCAGTTCCAGTTCCACCTGTTGTTACTACATCGATGGCATGACCTTCTTTCCTTAGCGCATCGGCAGTAGACGTAAGGATCTTCATGCTCTCAAGACACTGGCTTTTGCGCTCTTCGAGACCATGGACATGTTGCAGGTGGCCTTCGTACCCTTGTACGCCGATGAGTCTGAGATGCTTTGAGCTGGTGACAAAACGAGCTAGTTCCGAAGCTGGTCCCCCGGGTTGCACGCCTGTACGATGCAATCCCACATCGAGATCGATGAGCGTCATAACTGTGCCCTCGAAATCGCTTTCTGATAGTGCTTGTTCAATGGCGCTTGCGCCCTCTTTGCTGTCGACAACTATTCTTACATCTCTGTACTTCTTGACCAATTCCACTAACCTCTTTACCTTCGCAGGACCGATAATCTCACATGTAATCAGCAGATCTGTGAAACCCTTCTCACACATGATTTCTGCCTCGCTGAGTTTCGCCACGCATCCACCTTTTGCACCCGCTGCGACCATCTTCTTCGCAATGATCGCAGATTTTGAGGTCTTGAGATGTGGACGGATATTGACACCAGTAGGGAGGAGTTGTTTCATGAGTTTACTTAAGTTGGTCTCCATGAGGTCCAAGTCCACAATCATGGATGGCGTGTCTAGCGATTCCAGTGAGTCGCCCACCTTAGGAGAGTACGGCATGGTTGTGTTGTGTACGAGACGCTGGTAGGACCGATGGTATGCAGAACGTTGTTGGTGGTAAATTGTGAAAGCAGCTCGACCACGACTCGAAACGCATATATGCCGGAGAATTACGGGCTTAGTCACAACGTATCGGAGTGCGAACATCGGACACGGCGCTTGAAGATAGGCGTTAGGAGTGAAAAAGTGGGTTGCTTGATCGTGATAACCCGAAATGGTAAGCCGGCGGCCATCCCACCTTCCTGACTGAACACTAGCCTCTAGGTTTACGGACCGTTCATGTCGTACAACCGCGAGGTACCACAGAGGGTATGCATCAGCCTTTTTGTCATGCGTGTATCAATAGAGACTACGTTCAGTACGTTCAAGGAGCGTTGAACATAGGTTGCGGTCACGTTGCACTCATCTCATTCTGTACAAGCAATTTCGCAAAACTGAAGTCCAGCCTAGAAACCATTTTCGATAGTCATCTGCGAGTCCGCACGTGAGAGCTCGTTTCTTCTAATATCTACTCAAAAAGAATCCCGGAGTTGTTCGCCTTTTTTTCCTTCTGAGTCATGATCCTACTGAAGGAGATATGGCGCATACCTTAGGGATAGGTTGTTCCATTGGGTAGCACTACTCAAAACGAATGAGCATCTTTGTACGGGCTTGTGCTTAACAGTACTTTCGAACCTGACGAATGAAGCCCGTGAATCCAAAAATGGTGCTTCCATCTATCAAGCCTTGCAGCCTTTGTGCCCACTTTGCTGCCACATCGTAACACTCTTAACCCTCATCTGCCCATCGTCCTTCCAGGTAGGCAGCCACTGGTCCTTGGCTTCCCAAAAGTCGAGCTTTGCCCGAAGGCTCCTGTCAATCCATGGCTTACCGCTCTTACCATCCTCAAACCAGCCATTTGTTGAGCCAACAGCAAGGTTCACGACAAGATAGAACTCCTGGTCGAAAGGAGCTGTGTTGCCTTTGGTGTGCTTCCATGGATTCTCAAGGCGGGTGCCGTTGGCATCGGCTTGAGGGAAATTACCGTACTTGAAAAAAGGCTCATCAAAATGCGTGTACATGACTTGTAGGAGGCGTGTATTGATATAAGTGAAGATGTACTTCTCGCTCCACTAAATGCATGGTCAATACCGTCGCGCACGATAGTATGGAAAGGAAAGTAGGGGTATTACCTCAACACCAAAGGTGTTGTAGTCGGCTGCATATGTAGTGTGCAGCGCCTGGCGCTTGACATTGTTGCGCCACCAACCATTGTGGTTGGCGTCAGGGCCGAAGTGCAGCGTGCTCGAGACGACGTTATTGCCGCCTTGCGCATAACCTGGAGCATTGCCGCGGGACTCCGCGATATCGATCTCACCAGAACGAGGCCAGGCGCCATATACGTTATCCTTGGGTAACATCCAGATGGCGGGCCACAGCCAGTCACCAGTGGGCAGCTTGGCGACGACTTCGACGCGGCCGTACTTGATTGAAGCACCAAGTTTGGTATTTATTCGGCCAGACTTGACAGGATTGACAATTGTACCGTTAGTCGTGTTGGTAGTGGCGACACAGTCGGTCCAATCGGAGCCAGTGCATCCCTGTCCACGGAGATCGATGATGTAGTTGCTGCCGATGAATGTTTCGTCTTGGATTGTTGGCTTTATAACGAGCTCGCCGTTCTTGATGAAAACGTTCTCGTCTGTACCTGTAGTCATCTCGAATTGGCCGTTGCTACAAACATCAATCAGTCCAGGTGTAACAATGGTTCGAGGCAACATACCCATAGCCGCCCAGCTCGACTTCCTTAGTCCAGACGTTCTCGTTCAGCGTGGTGAAATTATCATGGTAGATCTCGCAGTATTTGTGCCTGCCTATGACTCTGAAGCCGTCCCAGATCATGATAGCCACTACCATGAAACCGAGTCCAAGCCCGATAAGAGGAAGAATTGTGCCCCATTTCTGCCTGGGATGCGGCTTGTCGAGCCACGGCATCTGCACATCTTCGGGCTTAACCCGTCGTGAGCGGAAATACTGACCTGGTACGGGTCCGTAGTGGAAGCCAGAGCCTGTGGCTTGCTTGCCCTTGAAGGCTTGCTTGCTGTTGGTGCTTTTGGATTTGTGGACTTTCTCTGAAGGGTCCCCCGAGCGGGCTACAGGGGTGATGATGTCAGGAGTTTCTGTGAGGTTCTGCATAATGTGCTGGTGTTATAGTATAGGAGGAGAGAATAATGTAAAGTAGTAGACTTTTTGTAGCAGGCAAATTCGATATCCGCCTAACATGAAACCTACCACACGTGTACGCATCGGGAACCCTGTGGCCAGTAGACAGTATTTCAACGTACTTACAGAGCGCATGTTCGCATAGCGTAAGCCCGACTGAATGTTCAATGGGCGGTCCAATCCAATTACGCGACAGAGCGACCGAGTCCCTTGGTACGAGTAGATCCCGTTCGCCAGGCTCCACAGTAAAGAGAACATGTTTCCTTCGAACCGTAAGACAGATATGGTGATTGTTGGTCTTGTGTGGGTACTTGTGGAAAAGATTGACGGCTGAGAACCGGCGATTGGATGAGCCACTCAGCACGAAAAGGCTCGATTTTTCGACAGTTGTATCTACCACCGAAAGCACCTTACAGGCATTCGTCGTGTCTCAAGATGACGACAGGATCATGTAACAAATAGCGAATACCTCTAGGTTATGAAATAGGTTTTTCTGTTGAGAGATACAGATCAGTGAAACCGAACCTTTATTCTTTCGTAATTTGAGCGCGTCAGCGCCCTCAGCACTCTGAAACAACAGCTGCACCGAAGGGACATATCACGCTCAAGACGCCCACGACCACAGCGCGTCGCTTGTTTCGCCCGCGCATCTATGCGCCCACTGCCAGACTCAAGTATATGCCCCACACGACACCCACAGAGCAGCCAAAGAGGACCCTCTTGTCTACTGGCACCCACAGGAAGCTGATAAGGCTTATCGCAGGCCAAAACTTGTATCCGTCCTTCATCATTGGCCATAGCTTGTTCGCGCAGTCGCTCGTAACCACGTCCATGGCGTTGACGCCAGGTTTCCCCTGCGCATTGACATAACCCATATATGCCAAAAACATGAGTGTGTTGACGACTGCGCCGATGGTCTGATCAAGCAGGAACTTGATAAGGACGTTGGTCTTGTTGAGGGACGTCTTGGCGGGATCGGATTTCGAGCCTGGCTTCTCGGACGGTAGAGCAGCAGAGGGCACATTGGTAGGAAATTGCTCTTCTAGGTAGCCTTGCCAGACAATGTTTGGCGGGGTGCTGAGTACGCTGAAGAGCGCGAACTTGAAGACTGTGGCATAATTGAGCGCAAAAGGCGTCTGGGCACGTGTCAGCTACAGGCACCAAATAACCACAAATTGCGCAACTGTGCGTACGCCGTCTTGATACGACGATATGGCTTGCGCAAGCACATTCGAAGTTATGCTGAGCACTGCGCCCTGCAGGGTCTGCGATACTATCGACATGATTTCGTTGTTGATCAGGTGTACAAATATCCACAGCCGCGATTGAACAATGGAAAAGTAGGATGAAATTTATCGCAGGTAGGATAAATGCAGAAGAGGAGGCGTGAGGCGTGTGTAGGGCTATGTGTATCAATGTGGCCAGCACATCGACTATTTTCGGGAGTATCAACAATGTTTCGCCCGTGGCAAGTCGCGTCCCGCCATCCCGCCATCCCGCCATCCCAGCCCGCGTCCGCCCGTGACGTCAATCAAGACGTGCAGCCCAACACCGCGTTGATTAGGACCGCTTTTCCATAGTACCCTGCCTTGCAGCTCCTTCTCATGAATGGCCCAATGGCAGTGTCGACGCGTACTTACTGGACTGCTGGATTGCACCTGAAGAATAGTCAGACCGTCGCAAAACGACTAGTACGCCATCTTACGTCCTAAAGGAATCGCTGCGGAGTAGAACAAGGTATGCAGTCGCAAACGATGTTGGAGCTAGCCGATAGAAGTTTCATGTAGCTAATCTAACTTAGATCTAATCTTGAACCTCATTCGACCGCGCGGGCATTCTAACAGGCTGATAGCGCGAAACCATAGACCAATACAATCTTGAACAAAGACAATAAGCCATTCGCACTGACAGGACCCTTTCGTGATCACACCCATATTCGCGTCTCACCCAAGTGTAATCTCTACCTTTTCCTTTGCCTCGCTCTCCCAAACGTCCTTCCTCACTCTTCCAAGCGCTTTGCGATATGCAACGCCTTCCACCCGTCTTACCCAGAGTACATTGACGAACTCGTACAGCCCTTGCTTCCAACCGCAATCTTCTTGGTACCATTCGTCAAAGTTTCGAGCATCGATTTCCCAATCCTCGACCGAACCAGCAGATATCTCAATAAGCTCACATAGCTCATCTCCCATCCGAGCCGGGTCGTAGAGCGCGTCCGCGACTTCAGTGTGCAAGGGTGTAGTAAATGAGAAGCTCGGAAGAGCTTTAGAGGTATCCCGAGAACGGTGTTTTAGGGCTGGGGCTGACGAGGTTGAAGTTTCGTCACGCGCATGCGAAGGTATAAAATTGAGTCGGAGACATCCAGCCCAACGACCAGAATCCGTGAGAAGTTGTATGGAAGGACAGCCTGACGTCGTGTTGAGGAATTCTTTGCCCAGTGTAAGGAAGGCGTGTTTCGTAATACAATGTAGAAACCGAGCGTTTACCACAGGTTGCCGGCGGCTTGTCTGGTCGAGGATTGGGATGGGGAAGCGGAAGGGTACGGAAGGGTCACACGAATGTCGAACTGCATTTCCGTCCTCTCCCAAGCTTGTAGACAAGGTCCATCCTGGAGGTAGGCTATCCCCCGGCTTGGTAAACGCTGGCCGCCTAAATTGCAAAGGCATAGTGATTAGAGAACGCTCCGACGTCAGCGTTTTTGAATACGTCCATTGAACAGTACTGATGGTCCGCCAGGAAGTGTATTGTGGTATATCTGAGATAGGCGAATACTCGAACTGGTAATTGGCAGCACTTCTCCAGCTCTCTGAGTTAATGATGCCTTCCCATCCTGCCCAAAACCATGAAGGTAAGATTGTTTCGCCAGCAGACAGTCTTCGCGGGTTTCGCCTCTTTAGGAATGCCCATGGTTGCCACAATAGCGCGGCATCAAAACACATTGTTGGTAGACCAGATATGAAACCTCCTGGGAACACGCTGCTCAAATGTGCCAGACAACTGACGAACGCATCAAGAACATCTTCTGGGAAGGTCAAGTCCCGTTCATTGAATAGAGCCATGAGCCTTGTGTATCGAATCATATCTGGCCAAGGTGAATTATTGAGACCAGCAACAGGTACGTCCATTTTAGTTGCAGAAGCATCAGAGTTTGGTGTTGGGGTGTGGGAAGGAGCGAGTGTAAGTCGGGATATATCCTGGCACTCGTGCCAGGAAGCACATAGACATTCCCAATTGACTGTATCGTTTTGAAAGATGACCCTTCGTGTAGAGAATATGTATTCCTGAAAGGTCCAGCCTCGCGAATACCACTTGGTCTGCATGAGTGATACCGCTTGATCAAGCATATATTTTGCACCATCCAGAGGTTGTCCGTCTGCCCTTCTCTTCTCTTGTTTTGAAGGAGAATCACCATGAACAAGCGCCATTCTACGATGTCCATAAAGACTCAGGCTCGCTTCTTCGTTCTGAGCTGCGACTAAGGTAAAGAGTGAACCTGCATATATCTCTCCCATAGCACTTAGTTGATGGTGTTTGGTTGCGTCATCGTCTTGGATGATTGTGATCCGATCCACCCATAGATAAGGAAGCCCCAAATCCCTGATCAGATTGATGGCGTCCCTGATAAGACTAGGTAGCGATATGATCCCGTTGTAGAGTCCGTTATGCTCTTGAAGCTCTTTCAGGTTCGATTTCGTGGCGCAAGCTGAAGCCTCTGCCCTACCCCAAACATAGCTCAAGGCAACATAACGCGGGCGTTCAGGCGCCGCAACCAAACACCCTCGCTCAACATCAACCAGGTAGGACGGAAATGGCGAGTGCATCTGTGAGGTTCTGCTACCATGGCAGCGTATTCCATGTAGTTTTTCGCAACGATCTATCCACGTTTGGATGATACCGACATCCATAATCGTAGCGTCCTGAGCTAACACACTAGTGTCTGCCTCTGAGTCCCTCTTCTCAATGTAAGGAAGAAAAGGGACGAGGTGAGTAGGCATATCCTTCCATGACACATCGGTGTTTCTGGGTGACGCTGTGCGGCAATGGCGTCGTCGGGTCTCTGGGAAGTGCACCGCCGAAGACACCGTTTGGCGAGCGAGTTCTTCAGCTGTATCGGGAATCCATAGCTCCGTTTGATGGTGCAACGGGGGAATTCCAATCCAGCCCTCTTGGGGAGCTATACTCGTGCCGGTAGCCTCAGTCGTTACTGCTTGCTTGTCTTCCTGCATTCTGCACTCTGCTGCTACCACGTCCATGGTCTGTACTAGGCCTGACGCGAGGCGCCTTTTTCGATAAAGTTATATGTTGACCAGATGCTCATGTGGCATGCACATAATTCGATCCTCTACGTGATCCGCTCTCAGGCGCCTCTTTCTCTCAAACTCGCTGTGCACGAATTTGCTCGATATTTTATCAGGTCCGAGGATACCAATGCCTCTTCCACAACGGTGGAGATGGGTTCATTAACATTGGAGACGACATCGTTGGCAGTGAAGGAATATTCGAGTGGTGACGCAAAGTGAGGGGTATGACCTCGGTGACAGGGGCAGCCAGAACTGGTTAATGAACTCTCTATCTCGGTGGTAGAGGAGAATCTGATGCGCAAGGCTGACAGGACAGGTACTCGTCGGTCGGACTCCGAGTCATTGGACTAGCTACTGGTGCAATTTGATTACTCATGGACCAGGTGTAGTCGCTTGGTATGGCTGGGTCAACATTGTATGAAGCTGGTAGGGAAGTCGCCCATTCTCCTGTCTGTTCCCCTTGTTGACCAGGGGTGCAAGCGGCGTGGTACGGAGAAACCACCAGTCTTTATCCGGTATCGATTCTGGTGATGATTCAGCTGATCTCTTGTGATGATTCACAAAAACGAGGGACAACGATGGCTGCGCACATCTACTTCATGGCAAGCCACGTTACACCACTCACTGAAGCGCGTCGAGCAACGAGTCGCGGTCTTAAGCGGTCGATTCTTCTCGGTAGAAATCCGCCATGCCCTCTTTCACAGCCTTTCGGAGTTGCGCACCCGCTCTGCCCAGCTCCCCGCCACCTTTGGTAGCCTGCTCCAGACCTGCGATGATTGCAGCCTCAGCTCGATCTCGAAACAATCTTTGCCGATCTTCACGGTCTTCATACATCTCTGCTTCTTCGTCTCTGGCAGCACCAAATAGGTTCAAATGCGCGTAGGCATTCGATCGTTCGGAGAGCACGTGATGCTGCGTATGCCAAAGCGGAAAAGTGTTGTCGCTGAGGCCGATAGAAGCAGCTGTCTGAGCATGAGAGAGCCCGGTGCGGAGGAAAGAAGTCAACGCATTCATTTGCTTGACTTGCATCTTCGTATCGGCCTTTCCGTACGATTTTCCAGACGACCATTTGCTCGATGCTTCACTTTGCCAACCAAGCAAAGTGAGGAAGCATTTGAGCATCTTCACCCACCCTCCAGCACAACTGACAATTTCATCGCCTGTGACCACAAGCAGCCATTCCAGCACCTCGAGGCCAAATACACGAATTTCAGTTGCTAAGTGCGTCATTGCAGCTCTTGTGTGCAGTAGCAGCTGATCTGCGTGGCTAGCGATATCGATTGGTGGCAGACTTTGCAGAAGCTTGAGTAGTTGCTGACGAACATTATTTGATCCGTCCAGAATGAGCTTTTGTGCCACGGGAATGATGACAGACGAAGGTTGCGGTAATGGAACTGTAGGTGGGTTGCTTGTGATGGCTGATGTTAAAAAGGCCAAGGATTCTTTCCGCTGTGCATCTGACTTGTGATTTAGTAGACCTAGGTGATGAGCGCATTGCGCTTCTAAACTTGGAGCACTGGTAGAAAGTGCTTGCTGCTTGAGAGAAATTGCTGCGATGTGTTAGTTGAGAATGTGAAATTTAGTGTTGTAAGTCTCACATTTGGCTCGGAAGCTGGTATCAGTGCTATTCGCTGCCTTGGGTCTGGCTTTTCCGACCTTCAATTTTGGTTTCTGTTTTGGTCAGCTCTGTAATTCATAGAAATCCTGTACATGCTTACCTGGAAGTCTTTCTTCTTGTTCTCCTTCTTCTTCTTTGAGCTGGCGGTCATGATGTCGGACTATTGGAACCCTGCAAATCAAGTTCGCGACCCTCTGAATCGAAGACCTTCTCCTTACGCGTGAAATGTCGAGGAGGTGAACGAAAATCTTCGCGTTAATGATTGAAGACGCGTTCCCTACTGATGAGCGGAAAATTGAAGATCTACAGATGCCGCTAATACCAAAAAGGCATGGACCATGTAGCTCTTGGCAGGGTCCAGCCGCAGTGGTGTACGACCATGTCATTATTAGCATCTGTAAACAGCGACTGCATCTCTTAGTCTCCATTGTACCTGTTATGCAACATGGCTCAGAACGCTGTATGTATCAGTCAGTTCTTGTAGTAGCAGACCACTAACGACTGCATAGCCAGACGAGACACTTTCGCTACTCACGCGACTGAGCCAAAAGCCTGGCGTTCAGAGCACCCTGATTTTGTCGCGCGAGAACGGCACCATAATACGCACTTCGGGCCTCATATCGAATAGCTCGTCGGCGAATCCAAACAGCACTCTACCGGCATCCGGGGAAGCTGCATCCGACAACTACTCGAACGGCAGGAAAGAAAGTGGGATACACAGCGCTGAAGACGTTGCGAGCATGGTCTGGTCATTCTTGACAGCAGCAGGGAGCCTCGTAGACGAGCTGGACAAGGATGATGAGGTCAAGCTTCTCCGACTGCGGACAAAGAAGAACGAACTGGTCATCGTGCCAGGTATGTTCCCCGCACATGCAATGGTGGGGCTTATGCTAACGTCTCCAGATCCCAAGTTCATTCTCGTCGCTATTCACGATACACCTCCAGCATAGGCCATACTACCAACTCATCGCACATGTTTCCCGATCCCCGCAAGCGTTATGATACCCAGTCGTTCTGATTTGAATACAACAAAAACCTCAGTTACCAATGAGACTCACTAATCTCGACTGCGTTCACGTCCACACCGTCCTTGAACCATCGTTCTACGCGAATTTCAGTCGATGTTTCCGCTTATACATGCAAGCTTGAAATACTCACGGGTTTCACCAATCTCGATATCGTTACCGCTCATCTGCCGCTTGCGCATCTTCCCGTCTTCTGCAAATGTCCAATCCTCGAGACCATAGCAACGCTTCCACTTCATGCCGTCATGGGCATCTTGGAACTCATACCAGAATTGCACGGCGATTTTGTTGTCAGTAAAGGCAAATAGTTCTTTGCGCAGCTGGTAATTCTTCTCCTTCTCCCACTTCTTTGTTAAGAAGTTTTCAATCTCCGCCGTACCAGAGAGGAAAGACGATCGATTGCGCCAAATACAGTCGGGTGTATAGGCTTGTGCGATTGCCTTGGGATCCCTGGCATACTTAGTAGGCGTGAGGTAGCTGGTCACAATGCTGCATACTGGCCATTCCAGAGGTCCTGTGCCTTCTTGACCTTGGCATGGGCGGATTCTTGAGTAAAAGGTGGTGCGAGTGACATATTCGGAACGAGCAAAGCTAGATAGGTTCAGACAGATTGAAATAAGAATCAGTTATATATCATCAAAACAACAAAGACGATCACTTTGAAGTTGAGTCATGCTGAGTGATGAGATGCCGCTGGATGGATGCCTCGTATCGGCACTTCGGCATGCGCTTACATGCATCCCTGTGGAAAGAAGCTCAGTTACTTCAAAATGGACATCGAGCATTTAGACCTCCAAGATCTCACCTAAAGAGGATCAGAGGACATACAGCCAGTGCGAGTAGAACGTTGGTTCGACGAGTGACAACACAAGCTCTGCCGAAGAAGAAGATTCTGGAACTGGAGGAAGCAAAAGAGACGCTCAGTTCTACACCGACCAAACGCCGAGGTCCAGACATGCCAGCATCTGTGTCCAATCTTGGAGAACAGAACAGGGTGTGGTTGGCGAGTGCCAGCAGATAGCTTTCATCAATAAGCTTCCAAATGTCATCAACCACAACAGGTCGCATCGGGCCCGTATCGTCAGCGCCCTATCCATCTGCTCAGTCAGGTACACGCCCAGACGCCTCTCTAATAGGCCAAAAAGATTTGTCAAAGATACCCTGCATTGTCAGAATGCGTTGGCTGGTACCTGGCGTCATACGCCATACCCCTCGGCCGGGCGCATGCCGGAGCTGTGCCCCACTACGAGATCTCGAAGCTTCAAGCTTGGGAAGCAGGCGGGTGCCCCTCCAAATAACTAATCGGCGTAGTCCACAATAACAAGTCACTTCCTCTCACCTCACTCTGCTGTTTAATTTCCAATTCCTCAATCTACATAACCTTCTACACAAATACACCAGTCAATCATAATGGCTCCTCTACAAGTTGGCGACAAGCTCCCCGAGGGCGTCAAGTTCGAGTAAGTGCAGTCGTATCGAGCTCCGCTCACCATCGAAGCTTTTGGGGTTTACGCTGACATTGTATTTTCTCCGTGCAGATGGGCACCCATCACCGACAGCGACCCTACCGTCTGCGGTCGTCCCCAAGAATACGATGCCAGCAAGGAATGGGCGGACAAGAAGGTCGTCCTCTTCTCCGTTCCCGGCGCTTTCACCCCAGGCTGCCAAGCATACCATCTCCCTCCATACATTGCAAAGGCCAAGGAGTTCAAAGAGAAGGGCGTTGACATCATTGCTACCATTGCAAGCAACGACAGCTGGGTCATGAACGCCTGGGGCAAGGTCAATGGCGTCAAGAACGACGATGTTCTTTTCCTTAGCGACACCAAGACCTTTTTCTCCAAGGAGTACGGTTGGCCTGCGGGTATGGGCGACCGCAACGGTCGCTGGGCTATGGTCTTCGATCACGGCAAGGTCATCTACGCCGAGAACGAGAAGAGCCCCGGCGAGGTTTCGGTAAGTATCTAGTGGTCCTGAGAGTAATGATCTGTTCCTAACGATGTATAGGTTTCTAGTGCCGATGCCGTTCTGGCCAAGTTGTAAGCGCTACAAGCTCAGTGTTCGAGAGGCTTTTGCACATGTCAATAGATCTAGCTAGCACCTTGTAGACGAAATACCCAAACAAGAATAATGACAGTGTACAAACGCAACCTAAATGTGATGTTGTCCTGCCACGTCAGTCGCCCACTTTTATCCATGTAGCGTTTATAGTTATGTTCGAACGATCGGCGGTGTAGGCCAGGGACGGCATGGAATTGGAAGTTCGTATTTGTATTGAATGCTGGTCGAATGCTCAGCCTGGATTGCAACTTTTCCACAACATGGCTTGTTCGTAGGCATCGATTCTGGCCCTTGACCGTCCTAGCTGCGTCCGCCCGAGTATTCGTAATAAGCCCATATATACAAACGCCGTCATGACTAATGCGCTCAATCAAACTATGCTCTGGTCAGCGTACGTACACGGGTGTCTCTAGCGTTTAACGTACTGGTGTAAGGAAGGACTCGGCCACGAAACGTGCTCTTGCGTTCAGCTAGAAATGTGTCAGCTTCAGGCCAAAGACGTAGGCCTTGGTTGGCTTACGAAGAGCTTCATTTCTGAGATCTCCTTGTCTACCTCCTCCATGAACTGGATGATGAAGTCGACCAGCTTGTGCTTCAGCATCTCCTCGGTGTGGAAGTTGGTGATGAGGAACGAGATGTCGTAGCCCTTGACTGGCTTCCTCCGCATGATGTAGAAGGACTCGGCTCTTTGGGTCAGGAACCGTGTGAACTTGTGGACCAGGATGTGTTCAATCTCATCTGCCTGCTTGATCTTGATGCTTATGCGCACACTGTTGATACTGGGCTCGATGTACACGCGTTCCTCGGCGTTCCTCGACACGGTAAGCGGGTTCAGGATGACTTCGGGCGAGCTCGCAGCCTCGATCTCGGGGACATTGTGGCGTTCCGAGGCCTGGGACGCAAAGTTGGAGAGGGAGAGGGCGGCTGTGAGCGACGAGCGCACGCACTGGAGGTACGGGCGGAGTGATTGCGACTGCGAGTGTCAGCGTGAGCATGCGACTAGCCGGCAGTGGAGTGGCAGCGGCAGCGGCAGGACGGGAGAATACCATTGCGGATAGAGCTCAGCACCAGCTCTATGCTATGTTGGAAGGGTAGGGCTGCCGTCGGGGGAGAGCGGGCTGCTATGACATGCCAGTACGGCGAGTTGGCGGTGCCTGCAGCTGGTCGCGCTAGTGGGGTAGAAGCTCCGGGCGGCGGCTCACCTTGGCGCGGCCGTCCTTCCTCATGCTTCCATTAACTTTTGCCCCACGACTGCATTATAAACACTCTCTCGCCTCTCCGCCCCTACAGTCTTCTATACCCTATCCACAGTATAGTTGAGAGCATCACCATGGCGACTATACCAGGTACGCCCAGCGCTGCACCTCCACCCGCAACATGGCACGACTAACCCACACCGTTTGTAGTAATCGTAAAGCACCAAGGCAAGAAGCACGAGGTCGATGTCGACACCACCTCGACCGGCGAGACGTTCAAGTACCAACTCTTCTCCATCACCGGCGTCGAGCCAGAGCGCCAAAAGGTCATCGTCAAGGGCGGCCAACTCAAGGATGACGCCGACATGTCCAAGCTGGGCCTGAAGCCAAACCAGACCCTCATGATGATGGGCACGCCCTCGGGTTCGGGCATGGTCATAGAAAAGCCCAAAGTCCCTGTCAAGTTCCTCGAAGACATGGACGAGGCGGAAGCTGCGCAGTTGGAGGGCGCCACACCCGCAGGTCTGCAGAACCTGGGTAACACCTGCTACATGAACTCTACCCTGCAGGCGCTACGCTCTATCCCAGAGCTACAAGAGGAGCTTCTGCGATACTCGGACAGGTACGTTTCCTTCCATCGCACGCATGTGCTTCCACTGACTGTTTCCAGCAACGGCGCCAGCTCGTCCAGTGCCGCACAGCTCAGCCAGTTCGGTCTCGGTGGCCTTGGTGCCTCGACTGATCTTACGGGCTCCCTCCGCGACCTCTTCAAGCAGATGTCCGAGACACAGAATGGGTTCCCTCCACTCATGTTCCTCAACGCTCTCCGAACCGCATTCCCCCAGTTCGCCCAGAAGTCAAAGGACGGCCACGGCTACGCACAGCAGGATGCCGAGGAGGCTTGGTCACAGATTGTTGCGCAGCTGCGGCAGAAGCTAAAGATTACCGACAACGAGACAGGGTCCGATGCAAACAAGCAGAGGGACAGCTCTTGGATCGACAAGTACATGGCGGGCAAGTTTGAATCGGTCATGGAGTGCGATGAGCCTGCAGCAAAGGAGGGCGGCGAAGAGCCCGTCCATAGTGAGGACCTCTTCTTCAAGCTCAATTGCCACATCAACGTCGAGACAAACCACCTGAGGGACGGTTTGGCTGCTGGCCTGAAGGAGCAGATTGAGAAGCGATCAGACGTCTTGGGCCGCAACGCGCTTTACACCAAAACATCCAAAATCGCCCGTCTACCGAAGCATCTCCCCGTTCACTTTGTGCGTTTCGACTGGCGGAAAGATACCAACAAGAAAGCGAAGATCATGCGCAAGGTCACTTTCCCTGAGGAGTTGGACGCGTTGGAGTTTTGTACAGACGAGCTAAGGAAGATGCTTGTCCCCATCAGGGACAAGATCCGTGAAGTTCGCAAGGAAGAGGAGGATGTGGAGCGTGCCCGCAAGCGACAGAAGCGTATGAGGGCTGGTGAGGAGAACGACAGTGATCCTCTTGCTCGCAAGGAGCCTCTGCAGAAGAAGAAGGATGCTGCGCAGAAGAAGGAGGATGCTAACAAGCCGGCTGAGGATACCAAGATGGAGGAGGTGGAGTACAAGACTGACGCTCAGGTTGAGGCGGAACGTGCTGCATCCATCCTCGCTGCCAAGAAGGAGCTCCTCGCTCTCGTAGATCCCAAGATGGGTGCCGACGAAGGCGCCAACCAAACTGGTCTCTATGAACTGAGGGGCGTCATTACGCATCAGGGCGCCAGCGCTGATAGTGGCCACTACACCTCCTTTGTCAAGAAGCAGGGTGCCAAGGATCCTAACACTGGCAAGCGGAAGGCAGAGGACGGGAAATGGTGGTGGTTCAACGACGAGAAGGTATCTGAGGTTGATGCGGAGAGGATACAGACCTTGTCTGGTGGAGGTACGTGTCCCGGATCGTTCGAGATACTATTTACTAACATGCTCTAGGCCAAAGCCATTCGGCTCTCATCCTCCTCTACCGCGCCGTTCCTCTACCCGTCATCGATGAGGACGTACAGATGGGCGACTCATAGGCTGACTCGACGTTCTACTTTATGCCTGACGCCTGGCATCTGATGGCCACAGGAAAGCCGAAGCGTAAACGGAATCGGCGCAGCATGTAATGCATGGCATTCGGCGTTGTACGAACTGCAAAGGCAACAAGATGGTACGCTGAGCTTAAGTAACGATGGCATGACTTCAAGACTTTGCATTAATAGACACGATATTAGATTGACAAAGTGCACATTTTCACGACCTTGATACCAGGAATTAGACATTTACCTTAAGCTCTTTGCTATTTAAGCTTATTGATCTGATGGACGTGCTGGTGCCGGCACAACGCTGTTGAGCAAGAGTGTGTCATATGTCAGTATTGGTATTTGCTTGAAGCAACTAATCTCGCAGGAATTCACAGAACTTTATGTCAAGAGAGCACTTCAATAACGATGTGTGTTTCTGTTAGTATCTTCTCTTACAGTTCATTTACAGCAAACCCTTTCCTATGCAGCATGTATACGCAAGAGGAGTCGTGTCATGTTCAGTGTCGGAGGCGTATTCCAATATTTCTCATCCCCTTTCGTCCTCACCTCACCACGCGTACTAGAAGTGCGTCGGAGCCTGCTGCCAAGCCCTTCCAGGGTCGTTACGTTCACCTCCAGGACCGCTCCTTCCTTCTCTTCCGTCTACCACAGCGTTTCTGTCTTAATAAGTCGTGTTACTCGCAAGACGCCGCAATTTCCTACCTGTATCATTACGCCAGTACGATTGTCAATTCTATGTATTAGGTTTCAACAATATGTTTTACAGTCACGAAGGTGAGCTCGAATTCGAGACCTTAGATGCCAAGAGCAAAACTAACTGTCGTAGTACTCACGTCGCGCAAATATGGCGTGGCGACTGTGTGGTATGTCGGAAAGACGTCCAGCTACTCCTTCCCAGTCCTGATAGAGGTGGCAGGATTGTCGCGACGCTTGGCCAGTCCAGCAGCCTAAGGCGCATCAACCGCAAGCAAATCCTCGAGGTTGACGTATCCAAAGCATGCCAGACCATCGTCGATCCTGTGGCGCCAATGGCTCTGCGCCTGCAGAGCAATTTGCTGTACGTTACACCAACATGTCTCCTCTAGAGAACAATCCACTAATGCATGTAGGTATGGTGTATCACGCGTATACTTACAACAATGTGGATATATTCTTTCAGACGCGGAGCAAACGCACAACACGCTGCGGCTGATGCTACGCACAGTCAAGAACACTGCACTTGATCCAGATGCTGGCAAAGCTAGGTAAGCAAACACCATGATTGCACCCTGAGCGCTTCGCTCACCGAGAGTTTACAGACCAGAGCAGCTCATCTTCGAGGATGATCCATCTTTTCTTCCCGAGCTCGCGCTCCCTCCCCCAGATTTGCTTTCAGAGCTAGACCACAACTTCAATCTCGACATTACGCGCTCTAGAGACTCCCAATCACTGACTCCATTCGGCTCCCAGCGATCACTATCTTCCTCTCATGCTAGTGCTATCGGTGGACTCATCTTGCCTACGTCGTCTCCTATCGTGGCAGGCGAGTTTAGACTCGAAGGCGACGATGGAATGAGTAGTGGTGGTGTGCCAAGTATCATGGATTCTCGCAATACGATAGAGATCGAAGATCCAGATTTCATGTTCGCAGATGATGGCGAGATCATTCAGTTCTCACCACGGCGTTCGGTGGATAGAACCACAGCTAGAACCCCAGGCGCGACGATGTCTAGCGATGCTAGAACGAGCGCGTGGGCTCCGAAGGAGCACATGAAGGGACATCGGGCTGGTAATCAGGTGAGTTTTACTGCGCTCTTTCATATCTTTTCGCATCGCGATATCAGCCACTGGTCTTGCGGTCTGGCCTCGCTGCCCTTACCTGGGCTCAGGATACAGCGACGCACAACCTCACTGCTGCCACCCGAGCCCACTCGGGCGCATGAGGACGTCCTTGTTTGCCTTGTGGTCTGCACCTCTTCTCTCTCCGAATTTCCTCTACCCTCTCACAACTTTCGCTTTTGATCATCGTTACATATCTCGCTACCTTTGTCTTTCAAGATGGAGACTGACCCATACCAGTTTCCTGGTGATCAAGCCGACATGGAGTTCCCGATATACGACGACGATGTGGCTGAAGGCAACGCATTCTCATCAGCCGGTCAGCAGCAGTCCAGTGTACATTCGGAAGTTGTCGAATCTTCTGACACGTTCGCCGCGCCCATGCACCGACGCCGAGTTCCACGGATAGTTCCTACCGACTCAGCCATTGAGCTTCGTAATAAGGAGTTGGCAGATTGGACAAAGAACTACCGTCAGAACATGAAGGCCGCCGCTCAAAAGAAGACCAAGAGCCGCATTGCTGCCCAGGCCAAGAAGAATGCTGAGCACTATGTCTGGGGGTCTGGTATCGGTGGTATTGGTCAACGCATCCTCGGTGGCCAAGGCCCTAGTCCGTTCGACATGTTCATTGGGGACAACCTCTTTGAGTCTATCACTGGCTTAACTCGCAACAAGACAGCTGGATCAAAGCACGATCGCGACAGTGGTATTGATGACGCTACTCAAAAAGAATCTCGTCGCGTGCGTCAAAAAACTGGTGAACCCGAGATCGGTCGTTCAGCTGACAACGAGGATCTTCCCATACTTGGCGACGATGACATCGCTGTCGAACTACCTCGTGAAGGTGTTTCCGCTCTTGATGATCAGCAGATCTTCTCTGCGATGCCATGGAACATGAGTGCTTCCATCCGAGGTTCTTCAGCCATACCCCGGAACGGACGCGTGGATATCATGCACTCTGCTGCCCAGGGTAGACCCGGAAATCGCCTTGTCTCTGCTTCTCCTCTACAGGGTCGTGGAAATCCCATTACATTTGAGGGATTGAGGAATTTCACGAGCGATGTCGATTACGGTGGTGACGAATTTGGCCTACCAGGCCCCAGCTCGGACTATCCTGAGCCAGTGATTCGAGAACCATCCGCACGCATTCGCGAAGCTCTATCAACAGAAGGCGAGAACTTTCTTACCTTCGTCAACGAACGCATTGTCGAAAAGCGCGACGGGGTTCAAACATATCCAGAACATATGTCTGATGTGCTTGGAACCGAAGCAGCTGCTGACGTTGAAGACATCACTTTTGAGGAGCTCCTCCCGCCTACTGAGAACACCAAGATTATCGCTTGTCAGGGTTTCATGATGGTGCTTGGACTCAGCTCCAAGGGTATGCTCGACGTTCAGCAGCCGCAATATCTAGGAGATATCAGCCTCAAGCTTACTGAAAGGTTCAAGGCTTTGCGAGTCATTGAGATCAGCGACAGTGAAGAGCCTGATGAAGATGAACATGGAAAGGAGGACGGTATCAACCAAGTCGACGAGGTAATCGATCCACAAGGCATTGCAGAACAGCCGGAGGCGCAAGATCGAGAAATTCAAGAGCACCACTTCATGGACGAAGAAGAGGACCAATTCCAGGAGCAGTTCGCCGCTGGCCAGACTGCTCAGGAGGACGATGACCACGACTCGCTGTATGACGACTAAGCTATTTGATGTCATCTCGTTCCGGTCAAGCCGCTATGTACTTTGCAATCTACCGTATGTCTTCTCATAAACGAAGTGGTTTTTGCTTTCCATCTTATAGCTAGCTACACAGCACTAAAAATATCGACATCCCACATTTCCTGTTCTTAGGCATCAAAGGAGAGCAGGCAGACGGAAAACCATATTCAAATCAAATATCCCAAAACTGCTAATAAAGCATTCAACTACATGTCCGCTTGAAAACACTTAAATGTAAAGACTGAAAGGTAACAAGCATTTTATGAAGTGATTGATGTATTTGCGAACACGTGGTGGTCGCGACATCGACAGCAGATGTGAAAGACACCGATCTGACCTATGACATGCAGGATAGTGTATATAGACATAGTGAAGTGGCAGGAGTGCTGTATTCACGATATCCAAGCTGAGACTTATGAAGCGCTGATTGACCGCAGCGCAAGCTGAGAATAAGTCGTCGGAGATTTACTGGTTGCAAAGCCGATGGGTGGTCAATGGTGGAGCGACGCGTAGGACGCGATCGCGGAGAACGATCGACATGCCGAGGCCCAGACCACCACGCGCCCTGCATCATCATTTACGTTCTATACGCAATCCTATGTGCAGGGACAGACGGAGCGTTGCAGACCATACCTCAGCCGGACAACCACGACTACCACTTTCCGTCATGTGTGCGCGTATGCTCAGCAGGCATGAACCTGTGATGCAAGAAGTATGACCCACTCTTGGGCAGGAACGAGCGTTTGAGTTCTCACCGCCGCGTTATCGTCCAACGACAACGACGAAGATGAGTATCCTGAACCTCTAAACACGCGTCATCTTCATTTTCGAAGCCACCATGTCTACGCCATGGCACCTTTTGATAGCTGTCATTGTAGCTATAGTAGCAGTCACGTACAGCTATAACCAGTCCATACTTCTTGCTGCGCTCGGTCTAATACCGTGTCGTCCATCGTGCCAATCGGCCGCTTCGAGCACTCATTCTGATCATCCTGGCCATGACTGCGCCGAAAAACCTCATCATTCGAGCTGGAATACATGGTTTCATCCTGATACAGGCGACGTCACAGCAACCAATTCTGGTCTTGGTGCAGGAGCGATAACGAAAGATTGGAATATCCTATACCACCTTGGGGGCAATGGGCCGTGGGTGGAGAAGGTTATCGATGTTGTTGATGGAGGTATCAAGCTACCGAACGGGTGTGAGGTGGTACAGGTCCACATGATGTCCCGCCATGCTGAGCGTTATCCTACCATGAAAGCCGGCAGTACCCAGAAAGCAGTCGTGCACCGTATGAAGGAAAGTGGGCGGATTTTCACAGGTAACCTGGCGTTCTTCAACGACTGGGAACTCTTTTGGTCTTCGGGTGATACCCATCTAGAGCAGCTGACATCCACCGGGCCCTTTGCTGGTAAGTTATGTTACGTTTGTACGAAATGCACGTGAGACATACACTGACTTCGTATGCTCACAACTGCAGGCACACTCAGTTCTTTCAGTACCGGTGTTCGTCTGCGCACCCGTTACCAACATCTTTTAGAACGTACCTCTCTTGAAAAAACCCCCACCAAGTTCTGGGCTAGTGACTCCAACCGTGTCATTGAGACAGCTAAGCACTTTGCTGCAGGTTTCTTCGGCATCGATTACAATATCGCCAACAAAGCTATCCTACAAGTCATTTCTGAACATTCCTCACTGGGTGCTGATACGTTGACACCTGGACGAACATGTTTGGCCAACAAGAAAGACGAGATAGAAGGCCAGCGAAAAGGATATCGTCTGTTGAATGAGTACCGGGCAAGCTACATGCCTGCCATTCGCGAACGCCTAGCCAAGCAGACGGACATGTACTTCGAGGATCACGAAATCTATGCCATGCAAGAGATGTGTGGTTTTGAGATTACAGTACGCGGTCGCAGCGACTGGTGTGACGTTTTCACTCAGGACGAATTCCTCAGTTTCGAGTACGCACGAGACCTTCTGCATTACTATCGTGCAGGTTAGTATTGTCTCCTGTACAATATGCATGCGGCACGCACTAACTTCATACACCCAACTTTAGGTCCAGGCCAGAAGTATGCAGCAAGTATGGGGTGGCTGTGGCTAAACGCGACGACGAATTTGCTGGTTGAGGGGCCGGACGCTGGTCCGTTGTTCTTCAGCTTGTAAGCCTCTATTATGCCGACCCGTATCTAAACAAGCTGATCATAGACAGCAATCACGACGGTGATATCGCACCACTCATGTGTGCGCTTGATGTCATAAACGACGAAGAACATCTGCCCATTACGCACATCGCCCACGACCGTAAATGGCGAAAGTCTCAGGTTTGTAAGTGCCACCCTCCAAACTGCATGTGAGACCTATACTGACTTCGTATGCCCACTCTTAGCGCCTATGCATGGACGTATCATCTTCGAACTACTGTCTTGCAAGACAGATACTCAATCTTCGCCTGGCGAGTTCGTCAGACTCAACATCAACGACGGTATCACCGCTATTCCGGGCTGCGACAGTGGCCCCGGAAAGAGTTGTCCACTAGCAGAATTTGCCGCCCGGACGAGGAAAAGGGGAGAAGAAGTCGGAAACTTCAACGAGTTGTGTGGGCTGGACGGTGACGCTGCAGAGCGGATCACTTTCCTGCATCAAAAAAGAGAAGTGTAGGACGGAAAGAGCTTGTATTTCTAGGTTTTACCTCACTCATACCACACTCTAAAAGTATACATGGTATTCCACACCGCGAATCCATAACGAAAGTAGCAATGTGTACCTTTAAGGTGGGCTTTGTTCTTAGGGTACAGCTTGACAAAAACAACCTTGCATATCAGGACTTCAAGACTAAGCATACACATAGCAGAACGGCCCCGCGATAGTGCTCTGTGCGTCTTTGATGGTGATATTTGGTTTGCCAACATATCCTACACTCAGGACATCGTCAAGAGTAGCATTACGGCTTGGCGGGTTGTTCAGAAAAGTCATGGTTCCGGCAATAGTATTCGGCCTGTTTTTTTAAATCCAGGGCTTGCCACGTCCACCATACTCGATCGATCATGGCGTGATGGAAGTAGAAAGATGGATCTGCTGGTGAGTTGAACCTGCGGTGTGGTCAATATATGATCTATGCTGAAGACGAATAATAATCCAAGGATAGGAATAAGGTAAACAAAGCCAGTTGTAACATACATATCCATTCCAGAGTCACCGCCAATAGTGTAATGACCTCCACTGCAGATTTGAAAATACGAAATCAGTTTATGTCTCACATGCATTTCGTGTAGGTAGAACTTACTTGTGGACGCCCATGACTCCTAGGGTGAAGTTCTGCATCTTGTTCTGGAAGCTAAGGATGTCAGGGTAGTTCGTAATAAGGTCGACAACCATCTCGTCTCGTGTCTCGTTGGAGGCCTGGGTATTGATATCACGACTAAGACAACGAGGGTTGTAGCCCAGACCATCGGCTTGTGGGTTCGGTGGTACACCCTTCGCGGTCGTTTGTATGGGACCTAGATTGATTTTCCAACTGCTTGTGTTAGCCCGCTGCCATTCTGATTCGGATCAGGGGAACATACTCTTTGAACGGGCCAGACTTGATGCAGCCTCCACCGTTCGCCGAGTGGAAGGTGACCATGCAGCGCACCTCGTTCGGTAGGCACCATGTACGGGAGATAGCCCTTGTATCCGCACTCGTTGCGTAGAGCTTGTTCGTAGGCCCAGATGTAGTAGCGGTGCCAGGTGAGGAAGTTTCCCTAAGCACATCAGCCACGTGCATATGGTCGTACCTTGCCGACGTACCGTTGCATGAATACTCATCGTTTGCAGAATGTGGGTAACAATGAAGTCATCAAACCGGCTCCTTGCACCTGAAGCTATTGCTGCCGGTGTTTTTGCCGGTTTCATGCCCAGACACTTGACTGCATCGATGTAGTTGAGCTTCTGACTTTCCGATAAAGTTGACCTGAACTTGCATAAGTTGAGTCGTTTCGGACAGACTGATTGTACTGCTTACCATTCTTGTCGAACAGCAACATTCTTCAATCTGCACTTTCCTGCGTCTGGGTATCCATGTTGAGCCACATTGAGCGAGAGTTTTGCCAGTGCTTGAGCAGCAAGGGCGTCGTTTCCTAAAATAGTGGCACTAGTGCTACCACAAAATACAGTTAATGCCAAAGTTGTAGCCTTCATGTTAAGAGGCACGGATGACAAGGTACTGGATAACGTCTTTCCTGGCTGTTGCGGTACCGACAGACATAAATATAACGTTCGAGCTGACCGACTTTATGTTAGCAGCGATTCAGTGTCCTTTCTAGATTTTAGACTTATACGTGCAGCTTTCCAGTGGAGGTTAAAGCTATGTAGGTAGCCTTGGAACTTATGCATTAGCCGTCAGCTGTTTTGATCTCCAGAAGCCCTAGAGGAGCAAAAGTTGCCCCCTCGAATCCCTGTACAGGAACTAACGGCTCGGAGGTATATCACCGCGGTTGGGAACAGGCCCAAGACCTTGGTGGCGCCGTCTAAATGCGATAGCGTTCGGGAGCGGATCGGGTACGTGGGACGTTGCGGGACGTTGTGGGACGTTCCGTGGCGCAGTTTCCCATGAACGGCGCCATGTGAGAATATCAGATATGAGGAGGGACGGTTACGCCACATCATCCCAGGAGAATGTTGTAGCAAGGACGCTTGGGTCTTTTGCACTCTTCTCTTGACACTCGTTATGTTGCACTATGGGATGTACTCAGGTAGTTTTACAGCAATTTCCCAGCCGCAAGTTTTCGTTGTGGTCACTCGTGGAAGCTCATCCGAGATGGTTGCTGTGCCGCAAGCACGCATACAAGAAACGAACCGAGAGACGTTTCTGCAGCAAGTGGCGTTCGTCTCCAAGGGGCGCCCTTCGCCCAGCCGGCGTCTATCATCTGCCGGTGGTTCATCTGCGATATCGCAAAGAGACAATGATCTCCGTTGTACAATATCATTTTGGAAAGATGGATGAGACAAACATACTGTGGCTACTGCTGCATGCGGGAGGAATCGTCGTAATTGCGGGAAATTTACCCAGGTAATTAGATAGCTCATCACGTTAAAGCTGGCCGAGGTTGAGTAGTAGCTTGGCTGTGTGATATTTCTCTCGCGCTCTCTCGCCTACAGCTGAGGTACCTCTCCTTGCACATCCCACTGCTTACCGTGCGAATCTAGTCGGTAGCGAAAGCTGGTATGATAATCCGAGACGGGTCGCTTAGATCATAAAGACCACCTCACGGCAAGGTAGTCATTCCTGCGCAAGGCCTATGATTGGTAGATCACTGATATGTATTCCACAGCAAATATACCAAATGTCCTATCAGGGAATCTCAAGATCCACGCCACACGCCCGGTTCTCTACAGCAGGATTCCGAAGTTTCAAGGGACTAAATACACCGTTTCCTGCCGAGTAGCGAAAGAGCACCTTGTGATAAAATCACAAGAGGACGGCTAATATGTTATGCGGATTGGCCACCATCTTCATCCCGCGCGAGGTGCTGTGCCACGCCCAACTCGATGGTACATATGGTGTGGTACAGGTCTGCGTATACCGGGCTGGTTACGCATTTGCTTTTCTTGTTTTGTAGCCCATACACTAGTGTTTTCTTCCCCCTATCATCATGAGCAACCTCCCTCCCATCTCAGATGCAGATATTGCGTACAGCAATGCCTCGAGTCTGATGGTCCAGGCAGGTACCATTTTTGGGATCGCTTTGGCAATAACTCTACTACGCTGCTATGTACGCCTTGTCATGCTCAAATCCTTCGGCAAGGATGATTGGACCATCATAGTTTCAATGGTGCGCGGAACTGCTCGAACGTTCGACCTATGACACACTGCTGACTATGCATTACAAAGATCTTAGCAACTGTAGCTTTTGGTTGTTATGTTGCGGAAGTGCCCTTAGGCCTTGGGAAACATCTTGCCGTCATACAGATGGATCGACCTAGATATCGACAACTACTCAAAGTCCGCTTGGTTCATCAGATTTGTGTCACTGCAGGTGTGACAGTGGTCAAGATCTCCGTGAGCTACATGCTTCTGAGGTTAACTGTACAAAAGAGTCATGTGTACTTCCTGTATAGTCTGATCGTGTTTCTGGTTGCGTTCATTATTGCTTGTACTGGAACGCTTGGTATATTCTCTCCCTGACAAGTCACAAAACAAACTGACAGCCTTGCAGTAAGTTCTTTTTCTACCAAGAACAGCATATGAAGGAGCACACCACTCCTCAGGGAATTGGAGAGCACTAACAAGTTGCCACTTCCAGGTTTTTATGTGCCTCCCAGTAGCAGCTATATGGGATTTTAGGCTTCGTCCGCCACCCATGTGCACAGGCGGCGCATTATGTCTAAGTGTTAGTACCTTTAGTCAGATTGCTCTTTTCAACTCAAGTAAGTCTTCTGCACCAGAGCCGTATGAACCTCTGCTAATTTTCTATAGTCGTCAACATCGCTACCGACTTCTTGCTCGCCCTCCTGCCTATTCCGGTCATATTCAGTCTTCAAGTTCGAATCCGCATCAAAATCATGCTCGCTCTCGTCCTCTCGCTCGGTACATTTGCATCTGTTGCTGGGATAATGAAGGCCCATGTAAGCAAAACCATTTTGAACGACCCCGAACGCTTCGTACATGACACATTCTCCATGTGGAACTTCATCGAGCTTGATGTCGGTATTTTAGCCGCCTCTTTGCCTACGCTCAGGCCTCTGTTCAATCGCTTTCTTGAAGCTGCGCGATCAGTCGTACAGAGTCAGCCTACCACAACACCACGATTCAGCTTCCGAGAACCTGGATCGTTAGGATATGCGAAGCAAACAGATGAGTTTAGCGAAGTACTCGAGTTAGGGCAATATAAGGCTGGATGCGAAACGGCGGTTAGGGTCTCATCACGACTGCCGGAAGGTCACGATGTGCGTTCCTGGCGTCTTGACAGGGCGCATAATTCTGAGAGTGTCATGCCAACCATTCATAGTCGTGTGAGCCACTCGAAGGATATTCTGGTGACCAAGGATATAAGTGTGAGTTAAATGGCTGGCATAAATCATTCGAAATTGAAGACGAAAGCGCCACTATCACCCTAAATGATGTTCAGGATGACGTGAGTGCCAACTCAATCGCAGTCTTCTTACTTAACGAAACGACCACCTTCGCTTGCACCTAATTGATTCCCGTCATCCAACCACTCTCAGGTAAGCAGGCGATACCTGCTTCTGGCCCAATTCACCTGACGCTTTTCATCAAATTTTCCGACTGGATCATGTACACCAAACTGAGGCTGTGTTCGTCGTCAGGTATGTGTCTGAGTCTGTCTGCCGCGCCGTAGACATGCGATAAGTGAGGCGAGAATCGTTGCTGCAGGAGCAAGGAATGCGGCAGATTTCAGTTGCCGAAGGAAGCGCCAAGCACGCTCATCGCATCGCGCACTTGGAGTGCTTGCAACGAACACCCCATTGTAAATTTTATACGTCGTCGTATCAGAGTCCTGGGTGCCACAGATTCTTCTTAGCGAGATGAAAATGTCATGTTGTCAGGCGATGATGACCACGAAAGCCGGATGTCGCTTGCTGTTGCATGGCATGCTATCTCCGCTGCGAGGCGCTAGAGAAAGCTTGGCATCGTGTGGCTGACTAGAGCACTCGACTTCTCGTGTCACAATCATTACCACGCCTCAGAAAAGGAATCAAGGAATCGTACTCAATATAGTTTGCTGCCTGCAGCTACGCGCATATTCAAAGGGAACATTCTCATCTAACGAAAGCACCGCCTCCGCTCGCGCCTAGCTGATTGCCCGTCATCCAACCACTTTCAGGCAAACAGGCAATACCTACGATACCTGCCACCTCCTCGAGCGTGCCCGGCCTACCACCAATCTCGTCCGCTAATCTCAGAGTTTCTTCGCTGTCCACTCCTGGTCTTTCTTTTGCTAGCGGGATCAATGCGTTGTACATTCTTAACGCTTGCTTCGGCGCCTCCGGCAGCCCGTTCAAAAGACCCGTATCCATAGGACCAGGGCTCACACTGTTGACAGTTGCGCGCTCAGCGAGTTCACGCGCCCAAACACGCGTCATAGCCTCTATCGCGCCCTTGGTGCCGGCATAGGACGTCTGTTGGATCAGACCCCATGTCGTAGTCGCGGAAGAAATGTTGACGATCCTACCAGACCTGTCGTGTGGAAGGTAGGGAAATGCAGCTTTGATGAGAAGCGCAGGAGCTTTGCAGTTGATGTTGAAGGTTTGGTCCCATAGCTCTACGTCAAGTTCTTGGATAGGTTGCGCATTCACGACCGCAGCATTGTTAATCAGTATATCGATCTGGAACGAGGGTGTGGCTGTGGGGTTCGTGAAAACAGCCTTTGCCGCATTGACGATGGTCGCGGGAGCGGAAGGGTCGAGGAGGTCGGCGCGTACGGGTAGTGCGGTGATATTGTACGTTGTGGAGAGATGATTTGCCAACTCCGCTGCGATCTTGTCGGAGCTCGATGTTGCATAGTTGATCACAACGTTAGCACCGCGCGAGGCGAAGTGTGTGGCAAGTGCGGCGCCGAAGCCTAGACGTAAGTCAGTTTCCCATTCACTGGTATGTATTCACATTGCTCAAGAGAGGAGTATCATTTCATGGTAGGACGTACTTCGCGAAGCGCCAGTAATGATGGCAAGCTTGCCTTCGAAGACTCTAGGTGGTGACATAATTGGACTTTCTAAGTTCTATGGTATGTATCACGGGTATGCGGCCTATTCAAGTATCCAAGGACGAAGTACGTGTACAACGCCCACCGCTTGCGCGATACCGGTAGCGCGGGGAACCCTTGACTTCTTCAAACTCTAGGGTCTGTGTAGGAATGCCTGGTAGTGGAGACTCTTATTTCATGATGTGGGTCTTACACTAAATTCCCCGAAGTAGCGCCTGACGTGCACAACTATACCGAGCATCAGAAGACTATGTTAATCGAGGCAGTATTGCGGTGGTATCTGTGTTGGCGTTTGCAGGTGGTTGAGGGGCTACAGGAACTAATGCGAGAGTCTCCCGTATCGTTGGAAGTCACATTCTCCCTGACAGCAGCGTGCGTGGGGGTGTGGATTCGTTCAACAGACCTGGACGCTCACCAACATCAGGCAGTTCTCCACCACATCCCCGTCCATACAGCACTTGGCGATGTGCAAATCCTTGTACAGGACAATTCTTGAAACAGGACTGCAGCACATACGTAGGAGGGTTTTTCCGGCCCACCGCCTTGCACAAAAGTCTGGACTCAGTCTTGAAAATGCATCAGTTCGTTCGGAAATGATATGGGAGCACCATCCAGACAATGCTCGACCATTCAAAGAACAAATCCATGGACCATATCACGCTCAACAATATAGAGCTCCAGCGAATTAGCTCTCCGAGGCTGGTACGATATGAGATTGCTGTGGAGAGTGTGCTTCCTGAGCATCAATAGATCCAAAAGCATCGGACATGTGTCGAACCGGGAACTACTGCAGGCGGGCGACAGTCCCGGTACTAAGAAGCCTCTGCCGCTCTACCGCCCCGTTACCGTTATTAATATCAAACTTGCACGGCCTCAAACGGTCATCGTATCCCAGAGATTCGGAGCCGCGACGATCACAGCCTAATCCGGGGTGTTGAAAGGCTGGGGGGCGAGCGTTCTGTGGATGAGCCGGTGGCGCTCCTTTCTCCAGCTTTTGTTGTGTACTTCTTATTGCTCTGCATGCCCGGTGCTTGCGCTGCGTGGATTCGGTGAACCTTATTGTCCTTCTCTTCGATTCAGTCTTCTCTGAAGGTCAAGCAAGGCCATGGCGCCACCGACATCTCGCGATATGGCCCTAGCGGTCTTGATCCCATTACCATTCGACATCGTATCGACCATCTTACGGTTCTGGATCCGTTACAAAAGGAAAGCATGGGGACCAGATGACTGGGCTATGTTGATCAACTTGGTGAGCATTACGGATGTTAAGGCTCAGCATCTACTGACATCAGCCTAGCCGTTCTGGTCGGTGAGTACCATAGCCACAATCGCTATGGCTTGGAGCGGCGTTGGTCAGTACGATGGCTCGTTGAGCGAGTATCAATACTCTAATTCTTTAATGGTATGTCGCAGTCTTTCACTCGCCTCGACCAGACTTATTGAGAAGACGAATTAACAACGAAAAGTGGTTCTACATTTTCCAAGAGCCGTGGTGCTTCACTCTCATCGCGATCAAGTGCAGCATCGGATTTGCCTTGATTCGAATCGCAAGCGGCAAGAAATGGATCGAGATGGTCATCTACATATGCATGTTGTCTTGTGCGATCGTCATGGGCGGGACGGGAATGTACCTCTTCTTCCAATGCTCGCCCGTACAGTATATTTTGCGTTTCTCGTTAGAAAAAGGCCGGAAGCTAACGAAGAGATAGGAAGAACTGGTATGTTAATATGCCAGGGGCATGTAAAGAGCGCACTATTCAGACGGCACTTTCGTACGCCGTCGCCGTAGTGTCGATATCAACGGACTGGATCTTTGCGACCCTACCCATATTCCTGCTTTGGGATGTACAACTAGACTGGCGAGTCAAAAGCTCCGTGATAGCCATGCTTGGTCTAGGAGTCTTGTAAGTGAATTTGCAATTTTGGGCAACAATGCTACCTGACCATGCCACTGACATATACACGACAGCGCCTCCATTGCTCCAATCGTGCGTCTTAAGTTTCTCATCGGCTTAAACGATCCGAACAGGCTTCTACAGAATCTCGGCGAGATCCTCGCCTGGGCTTGCGCTGAGATGAATGTCGGCATGTTTGTCGCCAATCTGCCCGCCTGCCGTCCCATACTCACCAATCTCATCTCGCACTTTTCGTCTTCGTTCCGAAGCCGGTCTGGACCTTCACACAATTATGGCTCGTCGAAGAAGCCATATGCCCGTGGCTCACTGCGTGGTGGCGATCCCGCATCGAAACACTGGATGGAGCTTGACGAGCGACCAGAGAGCACTGGGCTGAACAACCATTTGGGCAACAAATCCAAGGATGTGGGTGTCGAGACGAAAATCTATGGTTAGTAAGATCGCCGGACAAACTGCGTGTGAGACGCCTACTGACATCTTACTCCAACTTTCAGGTGACTTGGATGAAATCAGCAATATAAGCTCTGAACGTGATGATGGAAGCCAAAAGCGTATTGTTAACAAGCGACCAAGTGGCGATGGCATTCAGGTTAACGTTCAGAAAGACTTCAAAGTCGAGATCACTAGCGGGAAGCAGTTACCACCGTTGCCTAGGCTACCGTCGGAACCAGTCTGAGCCGTGGATGTTGGTCTGAAGGTGTAATAATATAAGCTAGAAATGTACAGTGTTATCGCAAGCAGGCGTAGTTCCCATCTCCTTCCTTGTACTCAGTTAACCTGAAAGACATTCGAGATCAATACCCGTGCTTCTTCAACTCCTCCTCAGTCCACTCCCACAACTTCTTCCGCAGCCCCTCATCTCTCGCGTGTCCACTTCCCGAGCCCTTCTTTCCTACAGGCATGTAAAATGCGCCACTCTCCAGATGGTCCTTCGCAGTCGTGGCACACCATGTCGTGTTCAACGCGCCACCTTCAGGACCCTGGTAATGACCCGGCAGTATCATGCCCACTAGTCCATATATCCATAGCCCGACCTTCAAGAATACGTTTGAGCGGAGGTTGTTGAAGAGGTCTGTCAGAATGACACCAGGGTGTAGAGACACAGATGTAATCGTAGGGTATTCGAGGGCCAGGGAGCGAGCGAAGAGTATGTTCGCTAATTTCGAGGCGCCATAGCGACGCCATGTGTTTTCCTTCTCGAGCGCTTGTTGGTCGAATTCAATGCCTTTGGATACGGCAAGACGTTCACCCATGCTGCTCAGGTTCACGATTCTGACATCGGCGCCGGGTTGCTTTGCCGTATCTAGCATTGTCGGGATGAGGAGCTTTGTGAGCAGTGCGTGGCCCATGTGGTTGGTGCCGAATTGTATCTCATAACCCTCTTTGGTCGTGCTATATGGGGACGCCATGATACCAGCATTGTTAATGAGTAGATCAAGTCGCGATTCCTGGCTCTTGAACGTCGATGCTGCGTCTGCGATGGAAGAGAAGGACGTCAGATCGAGTGGTAGATGTACGATTTCGCAGGCATTTGGGACGCTGTTCTTGATGTCGGTGATAGCGTCGCGGGCTTTGGACTCGGTACGAGCGGCGAGGTATATGCGCGTAGGGTTATGGGCAGCGAGGTATGCAATGGTTTGTTTGCCTAGCCCAGCGTTACCTGCTCGTAGGTTAGAACAATGGTATGACAGCGCTTGGTAGACATTGGGAGATACGTACCACCCGTGACCAAGATGACCTTCCCCTCTAGGCTCCCAATATCCTTGGATGGGTCGAAAGACTTCCCCATGTTGATGCGCTTTGTTTTCTCACAAGATGCGGGTATGACGAAGTTGTATCCGTACAACAGCAGCGCAAACAGATGGTCTTCGAAATGGCACAAGATATAGAAGATGCCCCTTGACGTTGGTCCGGGACGCGTACTTTGTTGTGGCTGTTCGTTTGATAGAGATGTAGTCTCAGACTCCGCGGATATCCTGTTGGTCGCCTCCCACTGGGATCGGGAGCATAGTTGGCCTACGTACGTACCAGTTGACGGAGCGGTCCGTTCGCGGTGCTTTTGTCGCGAAAATGCCGAGGTCGAAAGCGCGCTATGACGTCTTCCATCGGACGCGTCTCGTTAACCCTTCGGGTCCTATCTACAAGTCGAAAGTGGTTCATAGTTTGATATCCACGCGTGAAGGCGATGTGGATGCAACGTGCGGGTTACCGGCGCGAGTGTGTTATGTCGTGGGGTGCTTACTACACAGTGGGTAGGTACCAGCTAGTGCTTACGACCTCCCAGCATGCACGCCAATAGTAAGAGATATAGGTAGACAACATGCTCATATATATACTTCAAATGGGGTATCACTATGCTAGAAGTCTAAGACGTAAGCCAAAATAAATGAAAATGCCCTAAGACCTGCTCTGTTGATGCGATCCCTACGCCGTTACCCTCCCCTCGAGCTAGAAAGTCCAGCTCTAGGATTATTCTGGAATCTCTCATAAGGGCTATTTGCAGCTGCCAGTTCTTCGTCGGAATCGATATCATGCACTACCACGTAATCACGACGCGTCGGAGCAGTGGATGCTTCTGCTGCGGGTGTGGCTGGAGCAGAAGGTTGCTTTGCAGGAATAGGTTTGGCCTTGAAAGAGGATAGAAGATTCTGTCGTTCTTCTTCGAGCTCGTTGTCACTTGTCAGATCGATGGCCTCTTTGTACTGGGCAGGAGTAGGGCGTGTAACGCTTTTTCGCTTCCGCTTATTTGAAATTGGCGCGACTGGAGCCTTAGCTGGGGATGCGACGACACCCTCCCACTGCTTGTCTGTGTGAGTTGGCGCAAACGCACCGCGACTCGTAGGATGACATGATATCATGTTTGGAGATTGTGATATCGCGAAAGCGTTGTGTGAACATTGGGCCACCTCAGGAATATGACGGGGTATTGAACAGAGTTGTGTTGACTGCTGCATAGGAGCTATTGGTGTACAATAGTCACTAGATCCTGAGATGCCAGTCTGTAGGACCTGCAGATCTTCAGGCTCTGTTGTGAAAGGGGTATGCACGTTGAACTTCTGTGGGTCTTGCAATTGCGTTGGAGGTATGTGGTGTTGGTGGTATGCTTGCGGAGCTACATTCGACAAGTCCGGTATCAAAGGAATGGTTACTTGAGGCTCTTGTCGCAATCGCTGACAATTTGAAGCGGCAGTCTTCATTATCGCCGCCGCGGTGCGCGTTGGCGCTGAAGACACAATGTTTGCGTCCGTGATATGTGACCCATTGAGATTCCCGTGCATGAAACCAAAGGCTGAGGCTGGAGCCAGGGAAGCAGGTGCAGGACCAGTTCGCTTTCGTTTTGACGTAGCGATGCGTGATTGTGGCTCCTTCTTCACTTCCACTGGACTCCGCGGTGGCAAGGTAGAGACTTGTTTTTTCGCAGATGTTGCTCTTTTTCTTGAAAGGCAAGGTGGCGAAGACACATTTGCTGTTGCTTTCGCGGCGCCAGAAGACATCGACTTTGAGGCCTGATCCTGCTGGTTTCGATCCACCGTAGTGCCATCTACCGCGCCTCGGATGGCCGCCAGGTTTTCGACGAAGTCCCAGACAAACTTCCAAACCGTCGCATTCAAGCGAAGGTCCTTGAACTGCTCACGAAGCGCCTCTCGAATAGTTCTGATATCTCCAAGCAGTAGTTCGTTGTTACGTGTTTCCGAGTACATCGAGATAAGGACGGTTGCTGCTACCATCTCGATGGGCGCGAACGTTTGCACACCACCCAGATGCTTGTCAGCATTTGTAAAAGCGTCTGAATCTCGCTCTATAAGTTCTCTTAGAGTAGTCCAGACGCTCGCAAGATGTGATTTGATAGCATCATCTACAGCGCCAGTGTTGCTCAATAGTTTGGGTAGTGCGTTGTAGTTCGTCTTTAAAACTGGTAGACCATTTGCAGCAGTGGGATGCTTGACTTCGATGATTTGGCTAAAGCAAGACAAGGTGATTTGAAAGTCTTTTGCTCGGGCTCGGTCCTTCATCAAGCCGTAGATAGCCGGAAAATCATCCACGAAAAGTTTCGCCAACTCTTGCCATGGGCCCTGCTTCGCGCGCATCTTCTCGGCCACAGTGAGTTGAACACCCATCTGCACTCTAGCAAAAAGATCTTCTTCTTGTTCCTGAGTAAGATCTGTGAATTGGAAGGCGACAAAATCTTTTTCCAAGAACATCTTTTGCGCTTCCAAAGGGAGCACTCTCTTGTGTTTGGTGCCAGGAGTCTTGCAAAACCACCTAAGACTGTCAGTGAGTCGCTGTAGGACAATGTTTGGGCTGTCTACCATCTCTCGCCTTCATGATCATGGCAAGGAATCATGCCCTTTACGAATGCTCTAATAGAAGACAGACGCTGCTTGCCATCCACACAAACAAGAGTATCGCGTGGTGTACTACCATCCGTACCAGCACTCCGCTTCTTATTCAGAATGATGGGCGGGATGTAATAGTTTTCTATACGATCGTTAGCAAGCTGATCTGGCTTTGACGTTGCTTGGAGACTATACCCATCAAAGAATTGACCAGACCTTTCATACGCTCGGCTATCACTGTCAGTGTGCTTCTGTGATGACCAAACTGGATGTGCTCACCTGTCCAGACAATTTCACGTTGGTATTCTGGATCAACGTCGATGACGGCGCTGTCGAGTTCCTCTGACAAATTTTAGCAGTGCCATCTGCGTCTATTCATCTAGGCTTAAAAATACTTATCAGATTCGCCAAACTTCGCATATTGACGTTCGGCTGCGGTAATTGAGGGCGAGGTTTGTAACCACCCTCATTATCACTGTCGCTGCCGCTTCCCGCAAAGATGTTGTCATCAGCTGCGATATGTGTTGTCATTGTTACCGACTTCCATAAGTGTACAACCCTGGCGTGCTAGGGTAAAGGTACTGTATCGAATCACACAAAGACCACACTGACGTAGCATCAACTAGTCTTGGATTGGGCTTATATAAGCTATGTTTAGCTCCAAAGATGTTGGCTAGATCGGGACTAGTCATAGAGCTGCCATCTTCACTTTCACAGTAGATCAGAGGGAGTATGCATACCAGGAGTGAGGTGTTCGCTTTGTATCAACACATTAGTACTTCGGCTGCAGCACATGCATGTGGATATTTCCTTCTGCAGACAGATTTGTTGGGTTCTTGCATTAGCGGCCAATCGCTGGTACAAACAGCCAACGCCTGCCCATCTCTCCACGCTCAGGTGAGAGTTTGGCCAGATCAACTATATGCTGACCTTGATGTTCAACTGCTTTGCGGCCTCGCGGACCTTATCCGCATCCACACTTCTTATCTCATCAGGCACCATCTTTCCCTCGAAAGCGCCTCCGGCCTCTGCAATCAATGTCTCTAGTCCATCTCCACTGGCATATGACCAGAATCTCACATACCTATCCACAAACTCGACTGCCACCTCTGTGCCTGCCGGTATAAATGCCGTCTCGCCCGCCCTGACCAAATGTCCTGCCTCGCCATTCACCGTAAGCGATATCGCACCATCTAGGACATGATACACCTGGTGTACCTTCTCGAACATAAACCCCTTGCTCAGCACTGAGTTCTTCAACTCGCTCCCAGACTCAATACTCGTGATAGCAAAGTTACCCGAAGGTCCCTTACTCTGCTTCATAGTAATGAACGGCCTGGACAGAACTCCCTCAAGCAAGAAGCATGGCCCAGTATTCGCTTTCAGGAAATACGCTTCCTGAACCTCGGGTAGGACACACTCTCCTTCCTCGAAATCTGCCACCTCCGCACCCTGGAACTGAGGTTGGAAGACAACATCGAATCGCTCTTTGATCTCACGTATCTTGGGTCCAAAGACTGCTCCCGTATTCCTATTGTCGAACTCGTCGCATAGTACGCCTTGGTAATCCTCTCCTACGAAACGGAAGAAGTCGACCCAATCTCCCGGCGTTACCAGACCCATTGATTCATTTGGACCTTGGTCTAGTAATTGTGGTTGGTGCACCACGCCCGGTGGAACGTACGCGAAATCACCTGGGTAAAGAATCCGACATTTATCACCAGCCCAGATCTTCAACCGGCCTTTTGTGCACATGAATACGTCGTGGGCATGATTGTGGTAGTGGAAACCTGGAGGGTCGGCTAGGACACCGTCTTGGCCGAAGACACTCATGGTGCCGTCGGTTTCGGCGGCCGAGCACATAATTCGGAAGACTGCTTTTGTGCCAGGAATTGTTATATGCTCGCCCGTGTGTGAGGGGAGGAGGTACGGTGTCGGTGCGCCGGCGGGGAGGCGGACGCGTGGTAGTGTGGACTTTTTTGTTTCTGACTTGGCAAGAGAAGAAGAAGGTATAGCGGAGTCATTGCGTGTAAGAATGGGGAGTGATGCGGCAGCCGTGGTCGCCATTATGGACGATGCTTGTATGGTCGCTGTTTAGGTTGAAGTATACGGGAAGGACGGCTGTGGGCGAGTAGTAGAATAGAAAGGATTTGGTGTAAAGCGGCACATCAACCTTTATATACTCACCAGGTAAACACTTATCCACACGTGGATTTCTATGTACCCATCGACCTACTCATTCAAGCATAGCAAAACATCGTCTGACCATACGTACTTTCTCCACACTCCCATCTGCCGACACCCCGAGACCTGTAGTACTCCGCCTATCACAGATTGGCCAGCAAAGCTCATATTCCGCTATGTGCCTTCGGATCAGGTCGGAAGCGGCAGGTTTTTGTCTCCGACAGCAATCAAGCCTCCGACTTGCGGTGTAAAAGGTGCTTGGGATACTACAGGTATCCTAGTTCATGCCGGGCGCATAGCTCCACCAAGGGGGAAATGCAACACTACCTGCTCAACTATGATATCTTTACCATCTGCATTAGCACTGTTCTCCAATAGGCTCTTTGGAGTCATCAAAAAGGGTAAGATGCTTGTGTTTTGACAAAGAAGAGTGAGACACATCCAGCTAGTAGCAAGCACACTGCAGGGCTGCAACACTCGGCTGACCCCGCAATAGCGCGATTCCGCTCGGTATGTGGAGAAAGCTTACCGATGATGTACCTTGCTCCGCCCTAACTTTACTGGTAGTCGGCAACACAATAAGATCCGCCGCCTGTAAAACAACAGAAGTGTCCAATCTCGACGTCTTACAGCAGTCTCCACCGCCTGGCGGGATGGAGTTTCCTGCAAGCATGCTGGTAGCCACATCGTGTTCGCACTCCGACGTTACCGACGACCGAGTTCGCGGTTGCGTCGCTGGCTTCTGGACCCATATTCTTTGAGAAAAGAGTGAAGCTGAAACATGGGGATATCTATATTCAATTGGCAGAAAGATCGTGATTACACCTCAACGCCTCCTCTCCCTTTTTGTCCTACTACTGCGGTAACTGCCTTCTCGTCACATTCTACTTGGGACCACTCCACTTGCCACTTGGGCCGTTTCCCCTCCCTCTAAAGCCACCGCCACGAGCGCCACCTCTACCGCGTGGACTCTTTGTCTTCTCAACTCTACCCTTTCCTCCTCTACCCTCTCCACCACTGACGTTGCCGCCTCTTGTTCGTTCCTGACCTAATCCTCTCCTCTGACTCTTCTGGCCAGCGCCTCCACTCTTCACACCGCCCCTACCCATTCCAGAGCCGGATTTTGCTTTTCGAATCTCTTGCCAATCTGCTTCTGCACCATCGTCGTCCATGTCCATTTCATCATCCTCATGTGTGCGCTTATTGCTGAACTTAAGTCTACCTTTCTGGCCAGCCTGGGCTGTGTCGCGGCCACGGATTGCATCAACATAGGCGTTGATACCTGCTTCAAGGGATGTGTTTTGGTCGTCGATATCCATGAGGACGTCGTCTTCGGCGATGTCTTGCTTCTTGGACTTCTTGCCCTTAGTCTCGACTTCATCATCAGATTCGCCGATAACAAGCTTGCCGTCTTCGTTCGTGCGTGCCTTCATCTTCTGTGGTTGTTTGCGTTGGCGCAGGGGCTTGGTAGAAGAGATGTTTCCGAGGGCGCGTTTGGAGAGTAGATCAAGCGGCTCGTCTTCGTCTTCGATGATGTACGTGTTTCCGCCCTTTGCACCGCCTCGCTGTTGCTTGCTTTGGCTCTTGACGAATTCGTCCTCTGAGTCGCCGTCGCTCTCTTCGCTTTCACTGCCGTACACAGCTTGGTCATACTCGCTCTCGAACTTGCCCTTTCGCTTCTCAGCTGGCTCCTCACCATCCTCTGTAGCCTGCTGCTTCTTCTTCTTGCGCTGCTCGCGTGTCTTACGGATGTTGGTGATGAGTTTGCGATCTTCAGCGGGTGTGGCGCGTTCTACTTCTTCGACGCCAAACTTCCGGACCATTCGTTCGACGATGTGCTTGACCTTGGCCTTGAAGTGTGCCTTGTGTTCGTGACTCCAGACCATCAAGTTCTTGAGCAAGGTGTTCAGACGTGGTCGTACAAGCGATTCTGGTAGTGAGATGACCTCAACTTTGACGAAGCCAAGCACACTGCGTACAATTTCTCGGTTTGGGTTCTGAAGGAAGATGTCCATCAGGTCGCAAAGATTGGTTATGGTTTCCTTGGAAATCTGGGCATGGAATTGGTAGAGAATGCGAGTGACGGCGGTGATAGACGCGGAGATCATGTGGGGTGTAGTCGCAGCCAGACCAGCCGAGACCATCGTGAAGTATTCTTCGAGCGAGGCTTCGACGGTTGGCGCATCGGTTGGCATGTTTGGCACCTTGGCTTGCACGACCTGACCTCCTTCTGCCATCTTCTCACCCATGGCGACAAGCAGGTTGTAGGCCGCCTCGCGCGCCTTCTCGTTGGTCTCCTTGGCGGAGATGACTACCTCGGAAAGAATGGCTGGGATGAAGTGCAGATCGCTTTGAGGTAGAGACTCGATGACTTGGAACAGTGCATTAAGTCTGTCGCGACGGGCTGGGGTAGATGCTTTCTCCGCGCTTCCTAGCAACAGCTGTTGCAGTTCACCGTTACGCTCTTTCAGAGCGGCTTTACCCATCTCCGACTCCGCGAGACGGGGAATGAGCTTGTACGCCTTCTTTTGTAACTGCGGTTCGTTTTCTCTGTTTATCATGATCTCTGCCATGCGGAAGAGGGACCGATAACTGTCGCGTGGGAGGTAAAGGGCAATGGTAATAATAAGATCCATGAGGGTATGGCTCATCGGTGGCATCTTGTTCGGGCCTGTCTCTTGCTTCTGCTTAGCTGCCTGCGTCTGCGAGCCAGGCTCAGGCAGTGAGGCCTCAAGGTTAGACGCAACTCGCTCGAATGTCTCCATGAGCTCGCGCTCGGGGATGATACTCAAATAGGCGTTGATAGTCCTGAGAATAGTTCCGCGGTACTGTGGCAAGGTCTGACTGTAAACATTGAACAGGACTGCAAGCATGTTGCTCGCAAAACCCGCCAGGTGATCGAGGTTCTTCTGTGCATCGGCTTTGGATATCCGAGCCTGCGCAAGTAGATCATCATCAGACTCCAGCTCTATGATTGCTTTGTTGCTATCAACCAGGTTCTGAAGAGCTCGGCAGACGTCCGTTCGTAGGTCGGCCTGGCCATAGAGCAAGTTCGCTAGCATCTCGCAGAAGCTCTGGTCAAAAGCCTCAACCAGATCCAAGGGCAGGTCGCAGTATCCGGGAAGAATCGACCAAATTTGCTGTACGACCGTCTCGAACACTTTGATTTCCGTTGTCTTCTCTTTTTCGCCATGATCGATAACCTTCTGGTATAGCTCTTCGCTCAGCGGCACCATCTCGGTTCTGAAATGTGCCAGCTTAGTGTTGTGGACTGAATCGCGGAGAAGTGGCAGCATCCAGACTCTTCCGGTTTGTCCTGGAGGTGGTCGCGGCAAGTTTAATGGGAGGATGTCCAGCACGACATCGGGACCCATTGCGCTAATGGCCCTTGAGATGACTGAATCCGCCTCTTTCTTGCCAGCAAAGCTGTCGTTACCCCTCAGGTCTCCAACCACCTTCAACACAGGCTTCAGAATAGGGTCTGAACGCCACCTTAAAGTCTCGAACATGGCAGACAAGACGCTGAAAACCTCCATCCACGCAGCCTGGTATTTGACGCTCAACAGGTCCTGTGCAATCTTTGCGACTTTCTCGAGTGTCTTCTCATCGTATATTGAGGGCTCTAGGATAACACCGTCGGGCACGAGGTTTACGAGGAAGGAGATGAGGCATTCGGAGGCGGAAATACGGATGTTGTGCGATGAGGACGTGAGGAACTCGGCGATCATGGTGAACAGATCGGGTAGCTTCATGAAAGTGTCTTCGGGCTCGATTTGCGCCGAGACTTCGTATCCGCGCGAGATGACGGCTATCCATGGAGGAAGAAGTTGCGAATCGTTCTTGGAGGGCTGTAGTTCGGAGATGACCTCGAGTAGCCTGGGAAGCTTAGCAGAGGCGAGTTCATCAGCCATGCCGGCGAAGATGACCTCGAAGATCTCAAAAGCAGCCATAGTCAGGAACTCGTTGGTCGACTTGGAGATGTTCAGCAACAGCTCACACAGTACATCGATCTTGCTGCTTGGCCAGCCTCCAGACGAAGTTGCAATCGTCTTGATGAGCTGCAGCGCATGTATCAAATCGGGGTCCTTGTTGTCTACGTCCTTCTTTCCCTTGTGTTTCCGCGCCTTGGCTGCCGCCTCTGCCGCGATGTCCTTGAGCATCTTCTGGGCCGTCTCGGCGCACATATCGGCAGCTGGGTGGTCTAGAGCAGGGCTCGGCGGCGGGTTCGCCAGCACCTTCTTCAGTGCTTCCTGCGCCCTCTTCCTCACCTTAGGCCTGTGGTCGACAGAGATTTGTAACAGACCTGCGACAGCTCGGCGCGGGCTGATAGTCGTCTGCGGCAGCTCCCATGCGCGTGCATCCTGTACCACCAGCAGTGACTCGAGACATCCTATCGAAGATCGGATGAGCGGCGCATCGGCATCTTGGGCTGTGAGGGCGGGCGCGAGGTTGGTGAGGATGTCGGTGAACTTGCTTCGCAGCAGTGGGGCGGGGACGTTGGGCGTGACGAGGTCGAGGAGGTAGATGGTCGCAGTCGCCGTGTCTTTGTTCGCAATTCCTTGCTCGGTGATCTGGCGGCCAAGCAGCGACAGCAGCGCTGCGAAGTAGGCCGTCGGGGTGAACTCTGATTTCTGCTGGCGGAGCGTGTCTTCAATGGCCGCGAGCAGGACATGCGTCTGACTTGGTTAGGATGCGACTACGCGTGGAAAAAGGAGATGCGACATACGTGCTGCTGGCCTTGCAGCTTCGGGCTGTCCCGGATCTTGGTCAGTCTCTCCTCGAGCGACATGACGGGCAACTTTGGCGTTGTTGTAGACGACTGCGCTGCAACATTTCGCTTTTTTGGCCTCGAACTTTTTTGACAGGGCAGGGATCTTGCCGCACGCTATCGATAGCCCTGCACGGCCCTAAACCCCACTGGCTCCACCAAGAGCCTTCTTTCACCTTCACATTTCACGCAGTCCATCATGTCAGAGCCTCATCATGTCGATCCAAATGTATATTGTAATCGCAAGCTTTCCGCAAGTATCATGCGCTGTTGCGCACACGAAGACAACCAGGGTATAAACAAAAACATCGCCAACCTTGTACAAATATGCGTGCCTCGCAGGTATCCAGACGAATGTGCCCATTGAACCCCCTCAGATCGCCAGTCGGCCCCCTATATTCCCTACTCTATTGAAAACAAGCATTAGACAACTCGTGAGTTGCCGCGAAGTCAAGCCAACTAGCATGTGCAAAAGTGAAAGAAATTACAAAGGACTACTCCTCCACCAGGGTATCATCAACGCGTCCCCGGACACTGCTCTTACTGCTCTTCTTCGAGATATTCATGAAGCTAAGCCTCTTCTTCACGCTGTCGGTACGTGAAGACAGCGATTTGTCGCTCTTTTGGCTCTTGATTGTTTCTGGCCGCTTCTGGCTAGCTTGTCGCTGGAGGCTGGCGTCGCTTCGGTTTGTCGGTGCCTGGCTGGAGAAGCTCGGCAACGCTTCTGGTTGAGGCGAGCTTGGCGTATGGTTGAGGAAGCTCAGACTTAAGCGGTTTCTCGTGTGCGTCTCCTTGCTGCGACTTCGCGATGACACTGTCGTTGACGCATCGTCGTCGGCCGAGGGTTTTTCAGGTTTGGCATCCTTTTCCTTTTCCTTCTCCTTCTCCTTCTCGGGCTCACCCATGAGGAACTCCTTCGTCAGAAAGGCTAGACTGAGCCTCTTCTTGTCTTGTCGGGAAGCCCGACCGTTGAGAACCGGTGACGTTCCCCTATCGCCGTTCACTTGGGCCTCATCGGGCGTCGGACTCGCTATCTGAGAGCGAGAGGTAGCTGCTGCGAGCCACGAGCCGGTAGGCGAGCGTAGTGTTGGTGCCATGTTCGGTGGGAGTAGCGTAGACAACTCGCGAAAAAAGGCTGATTCGAAGCCTGAAATAGTTAGTTGCCAGCCGAAGTAGGAATGACACTGTACATACGCTGCGTGAGGTCTGATTTGGTGGCTTGCTGGGCAGGCCTCACATACAACGACAGGCAGCGACGGATGACCAGAGCGTAGTCAATCAGCGCCACCCGTAAGCCGTTTTCCAGCGGATTGGGCCGTCGTGCGTTTTCACCATCTTCCTCGTCATCCTCTTCACTTGGAGGAGGCAGCAAATCATGATAGTTCGCAACACAGTCCCGGGAATTCATATCTACTGCGTACATGAGCTCTTGAGTCAGTGTGTTGAATGTAGTGTCATCGCCATCCGTAATTCGTTTCTCGATTGCAAGGAGCTCCCCAGTCTTGCGCGAGGTTCGCTCAATGGCCATTTGCAGTGGTGTAAGTGTCACTGTACCAACCGCTACTATCTCACTTCTTCGCAGAATCGTAGGAAAACTCTCTGCCGTAGTGTAGAGCGTTTTCTCTGCTGCTGCATCTCTTGCGTTGACGGTAGACGGCGATCGACGAGATGCCGATGTGAAATGCGACGGACGAGACAGTAAATAGTAGTCCTTGACGGATTGAGACACCTTCGCCCGTTGGTAGATCGGATGAGTAAGGTCCTTCTGTGGACTTACAGGGTAGATCTGCAAGTACTGGCCCTCGAGGTCTTGCTCTCCACCTAGGTTGACGATTTGCGCTGAAGGATGTTGTTGCTGCATTCGATCCGTAAATGATGCCAACCGGTCGTTGGACGATCCCTCAAAGATGAATTGCTTGTCTCGAAGTCCTGGCGGAAACCCTAAACCCTTGTATACTACGCGGAAGTAACGTGGATTCGAACGTTCGCCCTTTGCAATACTTTCGTGAATCTTTGCCATAGCGTGCTGTGCACGAGCCAACTTGGCGAAGTCGAATATGTTGTGTTCATACTGGGCTGCGAGCTCCGTGTAGGCGGCTAACGCATTGTTCCATGACTGTCCGGTTTCGTAGTGATCGATCATTTGGAAGTACAGCTGCTCTTTACGTTCAAACGCAGGCTGCGGCGGCATGTTGGGTTCGGTCAGCGGATCCACAGTCGAGTTCGGATCCCATTCGTAAAGCTCGGCATGTAATCTGAGCGCAAGACCTGCTTCCGTGTAGTTTCCCGCATCCACCTGCAATTCCACAAGCTGATGCACATAACGGATGTAGATATCTTCTTTCTGCATGTCCTTCAGGAACTCCATAAGATGCAGAGTGTCCATGATGTGGAAGACTTCACCAGCTGCGTCGGTGCTATGCACAGCAACGAGAAGGTCCAGTAGCTCATCTATGGTCGAAATAAGGTCTTTCAAAGCTGCTAGCAATGGTTCTTCCGGATCCTGAGCAAGAGGCTCGAACAGTTCTACCAGCTCCTGGATGAAGTGCTTTTGCAAGACCGCCTCGGTCAAGTGTTTCGTTTTGAAGAGATTGTCCAGACAATCGATCATCTCGGCTTGTACAAGAGCAAGATCCTCGCTGAGCGTCCACTCGCTGATAATCATCGTTTGCAGCACTTCAATGGCTACACTGCGAAGGCCCTCATGTACACTGAGACAGAGCTCAACGATAGGCGCAACAAGTCCGGGCACGTATTGCACTTGGAAACCACCCATCTTTTCAAGCCCGTATTGACCCTTATCTTCAGCGCTGGCCTCCCAACCAATCGCTTCCCAGCTACGTTGTAGCAGGTCGGCGCCATGCTCGCGAACATCGCCAGCAATCTTCCACACAGCGCGTCGTTTCTGCTCCGGAAAAGTCTCAAGCGCGAGAGCATCGCTACCGACGAGTTTTAACAGCGCATCGAAGAAAGCTCGCCAGAGTTCTGTATTGAAGCTATCGGCCTCATCAGGGAGTGGGAGGAAAGAGTCATGCAAGATGTTGAAAAGCTTCTCTAATGCACGCATGGTGGCTTTATGATGGTAGATGTGTACACTCAGCCATGAGCTAGGGTAAGCCTCGCAATCCAGAATCGATATGTAGACCTGCAGTATGGTGAAGAGGAACTCTGCTGATTCTTCCTTGGGCAGCTCGGGCTGTAAGAGGATAGGTAGGCTAGACATAGCGGCGAGTACAGCTGATATCTCGGCCATTGCCTCGTCAAACGGAGCTTCGGCAGTCGCCGCTCGTGATTGGAATGGATAACTCGTTGGGAAGAGCAGCGAGAGTGTCTTCTTAGCCGGCCGAGGGGTGGCTTGAATTGCGCGGTATGAGTCTACGAGCTTTGGCATGTACTCGCAAGCTTCTTTTCCTAGCTCTTCAACCTGCGACGCAACCACGGAACAGCAGAGACGGACTTGATCCTTCCACTGGTCGGTGACAGTCTCCACTCTACCCCAGTATGGCGCTAACCACTGAACAGTACTTGCTAAAAGCAGGCGACGTACGTCCGGAGACCTGAAGATCTGAAGGTCAGAGAGGTGGTGTATCAAGAGAAGCTTGTAGAGAATCAGCTTTCCCTGTACTTTGGAGCATGAGTCAACGAAGCCTGCCGTAAGCTTGAAGACCTCTGTGGCCGGCATACATCCGTCAAGTTCGGGAAGCCACGAGTGAAGGTTCTGTACGAGGAGGGTTTTGGTTCCGATGAGAACAGGCGAGGGATTTTCCATCAGCGCTTGCAGCGATGTAAAGAGCGTCTTCATCTCTTTACTGAACTGAGTCCGATCCTTGATGCCAATGCTCTCTTCTTTCGCTTTCTGCTTCTCCCGTGCGTTGACCAGGAACTTCATGATGAGTTTGCCGACTTTGAACGTGGCGCGCAATCGTCGAGAAATCTCAGAGTCTGTAGGTTTGGCGAGAAGTCGACCAAGGCTTTGCATCAGGCACGAAGTAACAAGAGAATGAAACACTTTGGTTCGTGCATACTGGTCCACCAGAGGCTCAAGGTTGAAGCGTCTGTCGTGTACTATGCCTAGTACTATGACGACGGCATTGAAGACCAGATCCTCGTATTCGTCACTACCGGCGTAATGGCTTTGAATGGCGAACAGGGCATCGAAAACTTCGCTCAGCAGCTTGACGATCTCTATCTCTGGAACAAAGTTAAAGCGGCGCAACAGTCCTACAAGCTCTCCTGGTGGTTGCTCCTGCCACTTGATGAGACCCAAGATAGTCGGATCTTGAGAGTATCGTGTACTGCACAGGAAGGTCTTGACATGAACAGATGCCATGGGGCCCATGACATGCTCGTCCTTCTTCTTAGCACTCCATGGCAGACCAAGGTATGCACCTTTGCCGGCAATCATACCCGATGTGTATTCGTCGTATCTGTACAGCGTTAAAGCATGGTCGCCATCACGAGCAAAGGCGTCTTGATTCCAAAGAGGCATCCAGCAAAGGGCAAATGGAAATCCTGGCGCATCGGCAACGCTCATGACTAAGTGTGATCCGGGTACGTCCTGGGGGTCAATAGCAAGACGGATTGTCGAGTTCCAGCCCTCGCCGCGCTGGGCTGCTGTGGTGCGCCAGGCTGTATGGCCTGCGCTGTTAGTTGAAGGGTAGATGCACCCCTCAATGCGCTCTCCAGAGCTTTTCCGGACCTCGATCGTGAGCTGGAGGTTAGTCATTGGAGAGGTCTGCACCAGCGGAACGGTACCAGTCTTCGGGTGAGCCAGGAACGCGTTCTTTGGGAGGAAAGGCTCGACAAGCGTGAGGTAGATGTCACTGCGTGGCTTGGTTGGCGCACCTGAGAATCCAATCTTCCGACATTGCCTGATGTTGTGCAACATGGTGGGGATCTTCTCAATCAGACCCTCGGCATCGGCGTGGACAAAGGCCTTCAGGTGTATGGTAAGTCGGCTAATGTGCGCGCTCAACTTGTACTTGCCACTGGCGCTTGGGTATAGTTCTGGCAACACGCTGTCCCAGCCACCATCACTCTCTAAGATGTCCTCTCCAGCCACTGCAGTGCTGTACATCCTGACGGTTTGGTCCGCCTCTGACTTGGACTGTAGTATCTGATTCACAGATACTACGCCGACTGCAACAGACCTCTTGAGTGTCTTCTGGTCTCGAGAGAGAGCCCGGGCTCGTGTGCTTGCGGTTGCTGAGGAGCCTGGCCGCGTATCGGAATTCTGCGATCGAGTCTGTTCAAGGCTTGGGCGGCGGCGTTCGTCCGAAGAGTCTGTATGCCGTGATTCGGTGTGTCGGGAGTTGGTTGATTCCTTCCTCTTAGAGCCGAACATCACGCTGCGCCTTCCACCCTTGATGCTGCCTTGTTGGGAAGGCTGCACTGTAGACCCTTTGCTTGGTGCTGTATCCTTGCTCGTGCCTACCTTTTCTGCTGCTGCTGTTGTCGCCGAACGAAGTGGCTCGTTTGTCATCAGCCTGAAGACAAGATACAATGTAGTACCTGATCCTGCGCCTTCGCCAATGTCGGTCAGACTGAGGTCTACAAGCAATGCGCGGAGTTTGTCGCCGCTCAAGGACACGGCTGCTCCGTCTCGCCCAGTCAAATCAAAAGAGTACGCCTCCGAAAGTGGTTGTGGTGCTGACCCCGGCGCCTTCAGGCACAGGTACATGCTGATCTGAGCCGCGCCTTGTACGACGTCCCCCACCACATTTTTCAGACTGACGAACAAATGGTGTAGGTTGTGCTCATCGACCTGAGCTGTTGGTCTGCTGTCCAGCAAACTCATCATGGACTGCAGTTTCGTAACTTCGATAGCCGAGTCGTCGCCCGTCAGGATGCGGCCACGCTGCGAGGGGCTGCGCACAATGACATCCCCACAGAGCATCTTGTTGCCCGCCACGAGATCCCAGACGGTCGCTTCGCGTACCTTTTCCAGCTCTTTGGCCGTGAGCACCTTGTGCAACAGCTGGCGGCGTGCCGTGTCCAGGCGGTTCACTAGCCTCGACATCTTGTCCAACGAACCATACTTGCGTGCTAGCAGCAGCTCGTGTACCTTTGTGGAATGCCATTCTCGAAGGCAGGACGCGATTTCGTCGACCAATGGCTCTTGGGCTGATGTAGGCGTCTCATCACCAATCTTCAGCATGGGCACGGGCGCGGGCGGTCGGGGGGCGGTCGGGTCTGATATCGGTGAGAGAGGAAGCATTAGTTGCTGGAGGTGTTCTTCGCGGGAGGTCCATTGCGAATGGGTGCTGCCAGCGCGCTTTCGGGCAGACTTGCGCTGTGACAGTGGGCGGATCAGGGATGAGGGCAGCACAGAGACGGTGTCACTCTTCGAGGCTCGTCGCGCATTGGGCCCAGAGCCTTTTGCAAAAGGAGAGGTCGCGCGTGTGCTTTCGGTGGGCGTCACGATGCCGTTAGTCGGATGCGCGTACTGACTTCCACGCCCTGAATCGTTCGCAGCTTCTTGGTTCGCCGTGTCCTTGCCTTCTCCTAGCACCTCACGCACCTCGACGCATGCCCGTGGGAATATGCCAGAGAATACGCGTGCTTCGAGCGTTTGGCCCTTCACACTCGTCAAGCCGGCCAGCAGCGAGGGCGGCGCCACCAAGTATCCTCGATACCATGATCCATCCTGGCCACCCTGCTCGATTATGTACAATTCGTCACCGATCTCGAGGGGTAGGTCGGCGGGCGACGAGGGCTGGAAGGGGTATATGCATATTGCGAACGCGATGCGCGGGAGCGGTCTCCAGCTCGGCATGGCACCAGACGTGTCGGGCTATATTGGGGGGAGTCGGCGACAGAGCATCACGAGCAGTTGACGGTAGGTTGTATGTTTCGGGGGCTCTTCCAGAGAGTTTCAGATTCGGGTGCCGATGGGTGCGCTGCACAGGATGCCCCTGATGGGATTACCGATGGGAAATCTGGGGATGCTGTCCAGAACCTTATTACAGTCAGCGGGGCACGTCCGACGTTGAAGCTGAGCGAGCGTTATTACAATGTGGCTTTGGTAGTGCAAGGGCAAAGGGTCGCGTGTCAGAAGAAATTATGTACAGCAAACAAAAGTTTCGTCGTAGACAGCAATGTTGATAACTTTGACTGCGCCATTCGGTAGCAGCCGTGCATGCATGGCGCTCGGGGCACAGGCTTCGTATCATCGCCAGCATGGCCCTGGCCTCGAGTGTTGGATATCATCATCACATCGACGCGTTCTAAGTCAATGCGCCCAATATGTGTGCATCTCCCCCGTGAACTTGCATCGGCCCTTGACTCCGTCACGTTCTACATCTGACAATCTGACCGTTTTCGCAACCACGTATCCGGACTCGAAAAGCAGGGGAAACTACAGCCGGTGTTTAATTGGTGAATAACCTTTGTTGCACATCTCCCGCCTGTCTTGGCTTCATTTTGGGCCACCAACCTTCGAAAGCACGGGCGCCTTGCTTCTAACTCCACTCCACACCCGGCCAACGTTCATTCCAGATCAAGCGACGGTCCGAGCACGCTAGATATATCTCCTACATGACACGAGTTGCGTATCTTTGTTCGTTCGTCTCCCCTTGCGTCCTCTGCCTTTCACGTTCGTCAACATGCGATCTCCACGCACAGAGCCACGAGATGAAACCGCGCCGGTGGAGCCACCTCAGATGGGGCTGCATACGCCGCAAACATGCGCGTCGTGGCAGGGCAGTATGGCGGTGCACTAGTGGCATTTTCCGTTAAGGGTTCGCTATAGCGGCCACAGCTCCTCATCACACGACCGTGAACGCCTCTCTGGCCGACCTTAACACCGTTGTACCACCATCGAAACACCGAGACAGCTGTCCATTTAGACGTAGCGGATCGCAACATTGGAGCCCGAGAGCGGCGAATGTCTCCGCGACTTCACATCTTCCGTCTTAGAAAGGAGTATCAGTGGGGCCGCATGCCTATCTACCTGGACTCTGGGAGACTTTCCTTACTAAACCCAGGCTCTAGAAGCCTTGATCTGCGTCGAACCTGATGTGTGTGGGAGGAATGTGTAGATCTGCAACGTTGGCGGACGTATTGCAATCTGGTCTCAAGCTGATAGTATTAACAGAGGCCTGCCTATACAGAGAATTGGTTTGCGACAGAGACACATGCACTGTAGACGTCATGATCGGTCATGCGAAGTTCGGAACAGTTTACATTGCTTTTTTATATCGGAGGATATTTGACGATCCTTGCTGGCAGAGCCTGCTGACATTATTCTAGTAAATGGCTTAAAGCTGCAACTCATCATCAGCTCAAGGCCGACACCGTAGCGACATGAAATCCTAGAGACAGCGCAATCAAGCTCCATAAGTACCATTGCGATGAATCTAAAAACGGACTGTGGTGAATCCGCATTGCGGGCCGTAGCGTGCCTATGCCCTCAAATCTGCTCATCTGGTGGCATACATCTGCGTATCATAGTCCCTAGCGATCTTGGCGATTGTCGTCGTCTTGCATCTCTTAATTGTGGTCCATAACCAAGAGATTTTCTCTTTGACATCGTGACAGTTGACATATCCTTCGCACTGCAGGATCGGCCTTTTCAGTCTCTTCAACTCTTTCTTTGGGATCTGATGCCCATACAGGCTAATTAATGACGTCTCAATATCGAGTCATACGGATACAATGATGGAGATGAACATGGGGGTGTCAACACCAGCCTCGACCTCTGCTCATACACATCACATGTCAGCCGCAAGTCCTCAATCCTCTATACCAGCCATGAGCATGTCTGGAATGGCATCGACCTTCTCGAGCAGTACGCATGTCACCCTATGGTTCACCGAATGGACAACGACAACAACGGCAACCTATGTGTTGACTATCTTCTTTCTCTTTTTCCTGGGTATCTTCAACCGATTCCTTAGTGCGCTCAAAAGCCAGTTGGAGATGAAATGGAAAGGACAGCACGAGACTAAGAGCACCTTGCCATCCATACCTAACACGGAGAAGCTCGGTCATGATGTTCGCGGCCATGCTCGACAATGGAGCCGTGCCGTACGACAGCAGCCTTTTGACATGGATGATAAAGAGAGGCAAGAGATCGAGCCCTTGAGTCCGGCAGAACCGCGATTAATAGAGGCTGAGGAAATTGGCCTCTCACGACACCGACACGTATCCTCAAAGAGTTTCTGGATAGCGCAAGCACCCTGGAGCATAAGAAAAGATGGGATAAGCGCTGCTTTAGAATTTGTTCGAGCACTGATTGGCTATGTTCTGTATGTCTTTGACGAAAACTGTAGCAGAATTGACCGCAATACTAATACTTCGTTAGGATGCTTGCTGTCATGACTTACAATATCGGGTTTCTGTTTGCGGTCACGGCAAGCGTGCTCTTTGGCGAGCTGTTATTTGGGCGATACACACGAGGGGGCTTTACAAATATGGTTGAAGATGGCTGCCATTCTTGAGCAGCATGCCATCTCGGTTGAGGTTAAGAGCTATCCTTTGGTGGGTCCATGTTCTGCACAGAGGGTGGTATTCTCGCAGGCAGCAATAGCAACTCCAGTGCGAACCTCAGCGAAGGCGTCATTCTTGCAGGCTTATGCTTGCAAATGGTGATAATCAGATTCTTCGTCGCTGTAGCTGCGATTTGGCAGATGCGGATAAGCCAGTAAAGTGCCAAAGTGCCCAAGCCCAAGTCACTCAACTAGCTACTTTACTTATACATGCTATATACCTAGGTATCGTCAGCATTCTCATACCGTAAGAAACCTATTTAAGGTTATTGAGTACGCCATGGGACGTGAGTAAACTTCGTTTGTCTGTCTTGAGTTGAATGCTAACACGAGAAAGCTGATGCATATCTCCTCATGAACACATGGCCTACCGACGTGTCTGACACTTCGCTGATGGCCTTTGTGCTAGTCGTCTGCGCTAGGTGGTATGTTCGTAACGCCATGCAGGCAGTGCAAAGCGATGATGGGCACGTGGCGACAATGCTCGGGTCCAGGGCTAGGGGCGCTCCAAGGAGTTGAGAGATCAGCCTTGATTAGTTTAAGGTATCGGGAGCTCAGTTCAGCTCACACGTATGATACTTCTCGGGGCGGTAACTAGTACCGTGGGCCTGTGAACCAATACCAAACTTCACACATCACAGCCACTACGCGGTCCCTATCAGAGCTGTTCGATGTAATCAACAATGCAAATTTCCTAGTCACGCGCATATACTTCCATTGGGTTTAGAACTTTGTATGTTCTTGCCACCCACACTACAGGCGGTTTCATATACACCACATCTTCAAAATCTATTATTAGATTTCATAACTGACAACGATATCCGACACAGCGCACTCGTTCCCACCATGCCTTCGCAAATTCCGCACTCAAAGCTTCGGCTTAATTTCTTTCCAAAATCACCTCAATGACGCAACAATAGTTCTCGTTCATCGCTACGAGATAAAAGCCTTGCTGCCGCTTATAAGATCACTGCCCCGATTTTACTACCTGAAGAAGAGCCAACGCATGGGTTTGAATATTTTCCGCTGTGGTTAGGCATCAAGGCACTCTGGAGTGGGATCGATTGGTGTTTCAGTCAGGCTTTCCATCGGCTAGAAGCTGTAACGAGCTTTCGCGAGAGTGAGAGCCAAAATTAGGAGGTGGACTATCGAACAAACAGAACTCCAACAAAATCATCAACGACCACCTCAAAGACAAAGGAAAATAGGCTCGACAACGCGTGCAGACGTAGCCGAGCCTGGTAAGCAGCTGAAGTACGCTCCAACCATCTGGTCGTATCAGTGTTGCTATCCACCACCACCACCACCACCACCACACCTACTTGCTACCGCCAATAACACCGACAGCTCTCCACCGCTGATCCGCACCCCGGCAAACAGGCGTTTCATCGCGTATCGCCTGGGGTGGGATGCGATACATGACCAGATACTCCCCATAATGCAGCCACTCGGCATTTGCATCCTTACCACCAGCACTGTCCTTTAGTATATCCATCGCACGAAACACTGGACCCCGAGCAAAATGGGCCGGATCCACCGTAACGACCCACGTATCTTCGCCGTACCGCTCACCAAAGTGTTTGGCTACTGCCTCTGCGTGAGCTAGGTTGTCATAGACGCTGATGAAGGGAGAGGAGATGTTGGTTTGCTGATTGAGGTGGGCAAGGCCAAATCGAGACAGTGCAGAGGTGTAGTTGACGATGGTGGTTTGGTTCTTAGAACTGAAGCCTGTGGAGAAGGAGTATCGAGTCTGAGAGCTTGTGCGGTGCACGCGGTAGACTTGAGGTGGCCAGGCAGTAGGAGCAGAAGTTGACCCAGATGGTGCATAGATAGGATGGGGCTGCGTGAGCGTGTATAGTGCTGTTTTTGATATCAGTATATGATTTTGGAAAAACTTGCGATAATCTGAAAGCTTACCTGTCATGGTGACACTTGATTCGATGCGTCTCCAAAGACAAGCTCTGGTTGGATATAGAATGTAGCTAACGAGATGTTCTGCTGGAGGTGACCTTCTTTGTAGGATTGTAAGACGTATTCCAGGAATGGTGATCAGAAACTTAAGAACGGGAACTTTTCTGGAGACATCATTACAGTAGGAACCAGAATCATTTCTTATATCGCTATACACCCGTATAACGTCTGATAAGCAGAGGGGCGGTCAAAAGAGCCGTTCAAACGGTACAAATGCATCTGAATCAGGAGTTCGTTGTCCATGTTGGCTTCCTTCCCCGACGGAACATGGACATCGTTTCGTCTGCTCGAGTGTTGACTTCCCGAAAGCCAACAAAGAGACAGCGACATCCAACGCCTCGTGCCGTCGGCAGGTTAAACCGGGTTGTGGGGACCGTCGTGATACATTCAGTATCGAAGTATAGTGCCGTAGTCGGGTTCCTTGTTTGGTGGAGAAGCTTAGGCCAAGTGCATGTGGTACAGGTCCTCAGTCCTAACGCTTCAAATGCCTTTCCCGATCGATGTCCGTTTGATATGCAGGTCACGGTCACTTGCATTCACCCGCAACATCTATACCTAGATCAGACATGTCAGTGTAGAAGGGTCTTAGCGAGACAGAGTTGAAACTACAGATGTGTCTTGATCGGAGACTCTAGAATAGAAGAGATCGCGCAAGAAGATGAGAATAGCAGGAAAATAAACTATCGACGAAGAGTGAAAACATGCAGACATCGAAAATTGGTGACGACAATAGATCCAATCCGGCATTGAAAAGTCGATTCTCCAAGGAGGCTCCTGATTCGACTGGAGGCAGGACAAAAGCTTTGAATCTTGGGTTTTCGGATTGTTAGAGGCGTATAGGGATGCTGCCGATGTGTCATTTCATGAAAACCAAATTGCTGGGGTCGTGCAGGTAAGCGGGTAGATGCAGTTAGGGGATGTATCAGGCATTGCATCCCATTCGTCAAATATACAATATTGAAGACTATATGCGTGCGGTACCTTCCGAGTATTGAAAACCAATGCATGTCTGCGATGGGGGTGGGAATTCGCAGTAGGTACCGTCTCCAGAGACACGGAAGGAAAGCCGCCTGCGCGGAGCAGCGATTACACCTGTCAGCATATTCTCACCGCCACTTCCTTAGCGGCGTCCGCTGGCCATGATACTATGAGCATCTCACATATGAGATGTACGAAGGATAGGGTGGAGTACGCACGTCGAAGGATGTTGGTTTTCATTCCGCGGCGATCTAAGCCCCATCGGGACAGGCGTCATATCTTCAAAGTCCGAAAAGTTGACTGACGACAGTAATCGCAAGCGCGCAGGCGAGCGTCGACGCTATCCATCCATACAGACGGTAGGCGGAGCTGTTCAAGGCATTTGTTGCACTTTAATCTGACATCTCGCCAGCCTATCCCACCCCTGCGCTGTCACAAAATACACACCAAACGCCACAACCCGTCACCCACCACTTCTACCCACGCTCGCAAACGCGCCGAAATCTCGCGAAGGCACTTATCCTCCACGTCACATATCCACAATGTCTTATTTCCGGATAACACTCATGCGCTCCGGCATTGGCATGCCTGAGAAGACGCAAGGTGTACTCAAAGCGCTCGGCCTCCGCAAACGCATGACGACCGTCTACCACCCCGTAACACAGTCCGTCGCTGGTCAAATCATGAGGATAAAGGAATTGGTTGATGTCAAAGAAGTCAAGAGCCCGATGACTAAGGAGCAAATGCGCGCCGCGAGGAGACCGGATCCCGGATACTACATCGAGCAGAGGGCAGGCGAGGCTATGAAGGGTTATGAATAGATGCAAAGAGACAGGAATGAGATGTGCTGTTCGCATGTAAATTAAGCTGCAAACATGTATGCATATATGGCGTTATGGGACATGAGCCTTACGATCGAGCCATTTTGCATGCTCACTTGGAGGACTAGGCTGGGCGGATGTCCGGTTGGTATGCTTTGCCCACTGTGCATAAGATAACTCAACCAGAATCCTCATTCTTATCACAGACATAAGTACAGTGGCTGTAGGTTTCCCGCCAAATGCGCGTACACGGTTAGATTCGAGACGGCCGGGCAATTGGGCTTCGTGTCTAGTCACGAGAACCGGTCACCAGCTTTTTATCATTATGCCACAGTTTTGCCACCAGACATGCTTCATCCACCCTGAGCACGCAACACTGACAGTAACTGATAGCTGTCCAATGGATTCTTTGTTGTGGCTAGCGAACGAGTTGCAGTTTGGCTGACACACGACAGCTGAAGACTCTGTAAATTTTCCCATAAATATGAGAACTGGCTTTATGAACCACCACGGCGTCGTTGTAGTGCCCTTTGGCTGTTTAGTTCTCATTTCGCTTCGTGTGGATGGTCGGCGCGGTGAGTTAAGTTATATTGGACATGTTTACATCCATGGTCACATCCACGGCGAGGCACTGGAGAGCGGCAAGACAATCAAAGAGTACACGCTTCGCTAGACCTTTCTTCGAGGAGTCAACCAAAAAATTCTACGCAACCACCCCAGGCCCTATACCAAGGAAGTCTCTCTCTCTGTCATGCACCCAAATACCCCTCGCAATAGTCTTAACAAACCACTCCTCAATACCCCACCCTATCGCGCTCATCATCCACAAAAACCCCAGCACACGCCAGAAGATACTGTCCCTGAACCCCATCCGCTTTCCAAAGTCAATGATGTGATCTTCCAGCATGATGATCGCTGCCTGTCCGAGAAAGCACTTGAGCGCGCCATCATCGTCAAACTTACGATTCACCAACATACTCGCCGCTCCATGAACCCACCCAGATACGCCAAACGCCACAAAAAGCTGGACATATTTGGACGCGAAAGAGCCCTTGCGCAAACCCAACACATCCCTGGTAAGCCAGGTACCAGGACTGGAGCAGATGCGCCGACACTGCTGATGCCATACCCTCGACCATGCACTACGCACACTATACAAGTCTTCAAGTTTGCCGAAGAGAGAAGGGCAGTCCCGTGGGTTGGCGAAATGCGTAGCTACACTCACAGCACCGACAGCCGAGTTTGCCATTTCCATTGATGTCATTGTGAGGAGTATATGAATCCAAGTATACCAGAAACGGGAGAGAAACGGTGAGGACGGTGGGAAGGGTTGGAAAGGCTTAATAGTGCGGATGTCGACCCAGGACCCATAAGGAGAGCCGGCGGAGTAGGAGACTATCACGTCTTTCATGAGGTAGAAGATGAGGGCTCGCAGGGTTTTGCGAGCGACAAAGGTGCTGAGTTGACATTAGTCCTGCTAGGAATGGAAAGCTGGAAATCATGGTACGTACAGACGGGGGTAGTCGGCTGGTACTTCCATGTACACGTTCTTGACTTGGTTACTCCAACCTGTGTAGCGAGGCGTTGTGGTGAGACGAAGCGCCCACCACATTCTGCTCAGGAATGTCCTTCCTGCACCACCTGGCTTATCTTCGTAACCCTTCTTTGACACCTTATCATTGTCCTTGTGTTTGTTTTCATCTCCATTCTTCCCATCCTTGCCGTACTGTATTTTGTACCACCCTTCTTTTTCGGGACTACCCAGTAAAACCCAATCAACATAAGTGAAGACGCAACTCCATACTCCGCAGTTGATAGCATAGTGATTTCCCCAGCCTGCATGCCATTCTCGATACAGAGACTGCGTGACGAGTAAAACAATAAGTGATAGACTAATGCTCACACGGAGCAATTGACGCCTGGATCCAACGGCAAGGGTGAGAACGTTGACTAGGTACAAGAGTGGGATTTGCAGTGTTATTATTTGAGGGGGCAGTTGGAACAGGGCCATTGCTACGATTTTGATTGTGCGGTCACGAGCATGGGGGTGTGACAGTTGAAGGAACTAATACATGACGGCACATTGTGGAATTTAAATAAGAATTTACACGATCCTTCGACCGGGCATGTCTGTCAGCATCCGGTGGGTAGTCGGAGACAGGGCTGACATGCTGGTTCAGTCCAATGAGAATCGTTCAAGTACGTTAGCGAATGGGTCCGTGATGTGACTTGTGTGCCTATGACTAGTTTAGCTAGTTGTAGTCGCCGGGTGGCCGTATACACGAAGATCTCAGAGGTTCCGCATCCTGGTGCCAAGAATTGGTATCATTAAATGCTACAAGCTTGGCTGCAATCAATGATTCGACCGAAAAGCCAGGTTTGAACACTATTAACGCGGCAGTGTGATTTAGCCTCAAATCTCTACGTCCTGAAAGCTTGCTCCGTCACCGTCGTCTTCGGCCGATGGCTGCCCAGGCTTTGGCCGTTGCGGTAAACTTGCTTCTATAGACTTCTCATCGTTCGGTTCAGGCTCGGAATCGTCCTCTTCGCTGTCCTCCTGCTGTTTCTCCTGGTCCGATGGTGGTTTGAGATCTTCGGTTCGGGCTTTTTGTTCTTCGGTTTGCGTCTTGGGCTCGATCGAGTTCCGCTCGCTCTTTTCACTGACGTTGTCTTTTGGTGGTGGAGGGGGCGGTGCTGCTCCGTCTGTATCGCGATCGCGCCTTGGTTGCTCGGGTGTGGGTGGTGTCACCTCTGTGCGCGGGCTCATAACAGGGCTTCTAGGTTGCTGCTGCTGTTGTTGCTGGGGCTGCTGTGATGATTGTTGAGGTGCTTGCTGAGAGCCTCCCGGACCGACACTTCGTAACCTGGGGTCTGCGTTCAGGTAGTAGCCCCTCACACCAACAATTCTGCCTTCCCGCTCGCAGCCTATGACCCAGTCTGGCACGACTACAGGGATGTTGTTCTCGACTGCCTTTTCCCATGCCGGTCCCCTGCCTTCAGTGCATACAAAGTGCGTGGTGTCGATGCGCACGTTATCCGCGATTTTAGCGCCGATTCGTTCAACGGAACGCTGCAGCGACTCGCGGAGAGCGGCGGGCATGTGGCCAGGGGTGATGGTGATACCAGACAAGTCTGTCATCTTGTGTGTCTGGACCAACAGCTTCTCACTGCTGAAGGTGCCCGCACTAGTCTTCAGAACCAGGTGAAACTGGTACTCGGTGTCGACTGCCAGGCCACTGAGCTTGGTGCTGTGTACGTCGCTCGGCTTGGGTATTGTGCCGGCCTTGTTGCCATTACGGTATAGAGTGAGGCTGCGCAGTTCGGCTGTCGCAATGTCGATGGGATCCCACTCGAGGACGACGGAGGTCTGGGTGGCATTGCGACACTTGAGAACGGGGGCTGAGGGGGTGCGCTGGCCAAAGGTACGGAATATCTCAGACTGGAGCTCGTGGAAGGCTTTCTGTGCGTCGGCTTCGGCTTTGTAGTTCCTTCCCACGTCAATGTCCACCATAGAGCCAGACGAGATGTCCGGGGGTAGCAATATGGAGGGGAACTCGATCTAGCTCTACGTCAGCCAGGATGAACTGCAAGGGTGCGTTTGCGCTGAGCTGGGCGCTGCGAGGCATTGAGGGGGCTCACAAGACGCTTGTCTTCGGTCAGTAGCACGGCTACTCCGGCGTCGACCTTTCCGACTGTGAGAGAGACGAGCATTTTGTGTCAAAGTGTCTGAGGTTGTCGAACTACAGGAACGTACGTGTATTGTTTGGTACAGCTGAGCCGCGTACCTGACCATCATTGGCGCGGCCCGAAGAATCGCCGTGGGCTTTTGGCGCTAGCCCTCACGCTCCCGGCCTCTACACTCTCTGCCTCCTGCGGCTCAACCACGATATGTCATGCAATGTAGCCTGTAAACCTTCTCCAAAGAAAAAAAAGAGAACTCGAATCTCCTCGTCCAAACTACCGAGTACCTGCGAATCATTACTTAGTTGGAAGTCTGTTCCTGCTATGTTCAAATTCAGTCGTTCGAGGTTTGTCTGGGCGTCATGTCTCTAGTGATCAACAGCCTGTTACTTTTGCCTTGCATAATTTACCAACTATCGACCACTGGAGAATATAGAACAATCAGCCGGCATCTGCACAGGAGTGGACTTGGCTACAACTATCATGTAGCATACGAGTGCTGCTAGGGGAAATTTTCCAAATCCAGAGTTGACGACAAGACCAAAAGTGTACGACTAAACATTTCCAACTGGTGTGTGCATTGCTCAAGGAGAGACTCTATGCGACCGCAATGCCGGGAGAGATGTATCAAAGATGGCTGTTGAGCACTCTCTCGCAACTGGTCCAACAAAAGGGTACCATGGTAAGCAAGAGCACTGTGGCTGGCTGCTAGCGTGTTTGCCGGTGTCAATGCTTTGTCCTCAACCGTCACGATTCAGTTCACATGTTTGCATTTTCACAGCACAACTCATTCCGAGAAACTCGGAATTCCGCATCTAGCAACTCGCGATCAGTGACGTCATCACGCACACTGGACCTAGCGCCAGAGGCTAGGCGTGGTCTTCAGGACATGCATCGGTGCGGGTATGCCCATGGTTGTCGGTGGTACATCACGTGAATTGGCGTCTGGAGCGTAGAACGCGATGCGCATGTCGACTGTCCTCAACTGTGCTGCATGCCGCGGAAGCAGGGACACGACCGCGTTCAGAATGGCATACTGGTGCCATGCGAATCGCAATGCCGGGGTCCGCTGTCACAGCTCCATACCCCAGAAGGCCTCCGAGGCTGGCCAGTTGGGATCGGCGATGGCACAGTGGGGAGGCCCGGAGACTAACGTCTTTATCGTGGTTGCTTGTTCCAAGCGCGTTCAACACTTTGACGCAGAGATTTTGGAGGCGGCTCAACAGAAGGCCGACACGTGTAGCCGACGCTGCTGCCGCCATGGGCATGGGCATTTCCAAGCTTCTGGCCAATTCCTTGCGGCGCGTTTGACATGGGATTGAAACCTGACCGAGCAGGGCGTTAGACTAGAGTGGGCTTAGGTCAGCCGTTCGCGATAAGTCCCGCGATGCACGGTTGCCGTCCTATGATGCATCGCGAGTTCCTGCGTCGACGGCTTGTGGTAGCTACGACCAAGACACGAGCCCTGCCAGAAACCTTCCCGTCATTCAGTCTCTTCCTCTGCGCATCTTCTCCAAACATTGGACTTCCTCTCCAAACACCTCATCTGGTATACATTACCCCACCCACCTCTTCTCCACTATCTCGATCGTCTGATTACCCCATTGTTTTCTCCATACTGCCTGCAGGAAATAATTCCCTCGACACCGCTCCACGCGCCGTCGCCTAAACCTCGCCCACTTCTCGCAAGTAGCACCCCTCCTACACCACTCCGACACACATTGTCACGATGGTTCTCATTGAGAATCAAGAATACCTCTGCGAAGAGGAGAAGCGTCTGAAGCAGGACCGGGAACGCACCGCTTACTGGAAGCGATGGGGTCCCTACGTTGCCGAGAGGCAGTGGGCAACTGGTCAGTCTTCTTAATCAACATGCTCGAGTCAATCTAATCTGTACACAGTCCGCGAAGATTACTCGTGAGTACCCTTGCTGCCACCGCCATTGTCTGCTACTAACCAATTTCTCTAGCCCTGATGGAGATGCCTGGAGCCGTAAGTACGCTTGACCGACACAATCCCCAGCTACTAATGCTATACAGATTTCACGCACGACATGGCACGGTCGCGCGCCTTCCGCTGGGGCGAAGACGGCATTGCTGGTGTGTCCGACTCGCACGGTTTCCAGAACATTGCCTTTGCTTTCTGGAATGAGAAGGAGTAAGCGTGCAGCATGCAGTATGTGAAATGTATACTAACTTCTCTGCAGTGACTTCCTGAAGGAGCGCCTTTTCGGTCTCTCGAACCCCCAGGGTAACCACGGCGAGTCGCTCAAGGAGTGTCATTTCCATCTGGACAACACACCAACTGTAAGTTGGAATGGCTCATCTTCTATATGCTGCTAACTCCGCTCGCAGCACTCGTACATGAAGTTCCTCTACAAACTCCCTCAGCGAAAATTCCCATACGAAGACCTCATCGAGACGAATGGAAAACGAACGCGATTGGACAAGGAGTACAACCTCGTCGACACCGGCATCTTCGATGACGATCGGTATTGGGATATCTTCATTGAAACTGCAAAGGAGGCAGACGATCCCGAGGAGTTGTGCTTCCGAGTCACGGCTTACAACCGGGGACCAGAACCAGCGCCGCTGCATATTGTACCTCACTGTTGGTTCAGGAACACCTGGGCATGGGGTCATGAGGACGAGAAGCTGAAACCCTCCATCACCAAGATTGGTCCAACAACGGCGCAGTCAAAACATCACAAGCTAGGGGACCGCTACTTCCAGCTTTCACCGTCCCCTGGCACCGGCCCAAGTGGCGAGGATGTTCAGCCTGAACTTCTCTTCACCGACAACGATACCAACTACAAGGGGCTATGGAATGTTGAGAACAAAGTTCCGTTTGTCAAAGACGGAATCCATCGCCGCATCGTAGATGAGCAGCTGGACGCTGTCAACCCTGAGAACACTGGCACCAAGTGTGGCGCCTGGTACGCTTTTGATGAAGGCGATGGTGTCCCGCCAGGCGAGTGCGCTGTTGTCCGCTTCAGACTGTCGAAGAGAAACGACGGGTTCCTTGACGAAGAAATGTTTGACGACATCATCGAACAGCGCCGCGCTGAGGCCGATGAGTTCTACTACAGAATAAGCCCCCTTCCAATTGCTGACGATCTGCGCAACATTCAGCGTCAAGCCTTTTCCGGTATGATGTGGTGCAAGCAATATTACCACTTCATCTGGGACCAGTGGGCGAATGGTGACCCTGGCATGCCTCCTCCACCACCTGGTCGGAAGGCTATACGAAACAACGAATGGAAGCACATGTACTTGGACGATATCCTTTCTATGCCCGACTCTTGGGAGTATCCCTTCTTCGCGGCCTGGG